ATATTTGGTTACAGTGCGGTCAATTAAAATAAAAACTAACTAAATTAAATTAAAATTAATTAAAATTTCAGATTTTTGGTTTTTTATATGACCAATTCAAATGGTAAGATAATGACCAATATGAATGGATATAAAAAACGTCATTGATCAAAATATTATAATGGTTACAATGGCCAATTCATTGGCTACAGTAGTACAAATAAGTATTACCGGGCGCGCTAGTTTGACCAAGCCAATATGTTAGTCTTAAAGATGCACAAGGAATTGACTAGGGCGGGATTTGAACCTTTGACCTCCGGAATACAGTACCGGCGCTTTACCAATTAAGCGATCTTACCCTACATTGGTGGGCCTTCCCATTTGTCAATATTTTTATTCAAGAGCGCTAGTCGGAAGCCTTGAAACCTGAAACACCACATAGCCTGGGATCACACCCCACATACACTATGCAACTAGGGGATGTTGTGAACTGGGATCACTCGGGAAGATAAAGCTTTTGGACCAAAAATCATCAAGCAAGCTATAAGTGGAAATTGATTAGGTGCTAACATATTAGTTGTAAATATGAACAAATATTCTTTTAGTGGGCTTTCAACATGCGACACCGGCATACGTACCGGTGCTTTACCAACTAAGCTATTTAACCCTAAACATTGGCGGCTCTTCCCGGCCATTTGTCATTTATATTGTCACCAATATTGGTTAAAAACAACGGAAATATTGGTTTTGGGTTATAGCAAGGTTCAAACAAGAATTTGTTGAAGGAGAACCAACATACGAACAATATATTGGTTGATTTAGTGGTTGAATGTTCAACCAATGTGATTGGTTGAAGAACAACCAACGCATTGGTTACAACTTGACCAATACATTGGTAAAAAACAACCATGGGCTCAACCAATGAGATCGGTAGTCTTTTTAAAACCAAAGTGTTTTAGGGGTAATAACATTAGAATGGCCTTTTAATTTTTTATTTTTTCTCTTTCGGGTGATACTGAATGCACTTTAGTCGTTGGGAAGTCTGAAAACTTCTTCACAATTCGCTTGAACTTTTTTGCTCACCACAAAAGTGGTGCCCATCCCATATCAGGGATATCATCCCATATCCTATATCAGGGATATCATCCCATATCCCATATCAGGGATATCATCCCATATCCCATATCAGGGATATCATCCCATATCAGGGGATAGCCCATCCCCTACCACACAAGTGTGTATATAGGAGGTATATACACCCGGATTTACGCCCATGGAAACTTTTGTTGATCAAATTATTCTTGGTAGTGCTCATGTACTAAAGAATAATTTGTCACAGTAGATTGATAGCATCAGTGATAGCATCAGTGACAGCCAAACATAACATTGTAAGTAAAACAATGAAGAAATTTAAAAAAATTGATGACTGTTAAATTCCTCTGCAAATTTTTAGTGCAAACCTTTAATTAGTCTAGTAAAAAAAATTTATTCAAAGAAACAAAACAAAATATGAATTACAAGGAAAGAAAACAAACACTTCGCAATGTTATCTATAACAGTTATTTTTTTGCTTGTTCCAATGAAGTTTGACGAAATCGAACAAACTTGTCAGTAAATTGTGTGGCAAAGGACGATTCGGCGTAGACGAGACGAAATCGATTGCTCCCTGCCAATAATGTCCGTTTTGGTTTGAATTCAATTCAACAAACGTTCACATTACGTGACAAAAGATGAAATTGAGCAATCAAGCAGACCATTTCAATTCCAAATTAATTCCAAATTCCAATGGAGGAATTTCAAAACAAATCCGTGAAATTAAAAACTGAAACAGTAGGAAAACTGTACAAGAACAGACAGAACATCCGATTAAAAAAAGCAAAAAGGGTAAGGTGTGTGTGTAGCAGCGGAAATATTTCAGGTTGTGTTAATCGCTGTATCTTGATTTGGTTAGGGTTAAAACAGTGGTACCGATATCATGCAAACCTATATACTGAACGCAGAAGCAAACAGCATGCATTCAGTCAGGTGATCTCGTCGTTAGAAGTTCAAGTTTGATAATAGAAACGGCACCAAAAATGTACAGTATCCTTGAGAATAAAATTAAAGACATTCCGTTGACGATCACATCGAGTTATTTTCCTTGGAATGTCTTGCGCTCTGGGCATCCCCTGAAATGTCAGGCAGACAAAATAGAGGCTGGTCGGTCAACTAGAAAAGGCAAGCAATCACCACAGAATCCTCAGTATGATCCGGTCTTCCGAACGCTGCGCGTGGGCAAACACGTGTCAGGGATTACCGGGTGGTAATAACATCTCCAGGGCGCCTGCTTGACAAACACACAACACGTATGCAGTTGAGCAAGTTTCCGCATAGCAAATTTTAAAACGAAGACCAAAAGCCTTTTCTTGAAAGCTGGCGTGGATTTCGCCCTAACCGATCTCGAACTCGCAACAAGAGATTTGCAGCAAATCTGATACAATCGTTTAGAAGCTTTTAAGTGTGCAACGACCCAGTTTGACAGAAAATGACGTGCCTTTCGTCGTACTTGAACATCACATTACAGGGGAATGCACAGTCTTCGAATGGAATGATCTTTGCGATGTGCCCCTCCATCATGTCCAATTACACAAATATATTCTAGATCTGTGAGCCATGTATAACTGATAAAACTTGATCTGTCGTGCATGCAATGTTCTTATCTTCGGTTTCTGACTTGACAACTCATCACGTGACGGAGAGGCAGCTACTCCAAAAAATGTGATTCTTTCAAATCAGTGGAGGCCATGGTCTACAACCGTGACAGTGGACAACAGATGCGCATTATTTTGGTTTACAGGCCACCATATTCAGATGCTTGTCAAATCACAGTTAAACTCTTTCTAACTGTTTTTGGAAATCTCCTGGAGCAAAGCCTAACATGTCAAGGTCATCTGGTAGTGTACAGCGATTTAAACACGCGTTGATGATCCCAATATTGCAGAGGCAGTGGATACTTTGCCGTCGCCGGCAAAAGTTCCCAAAACTATATTGTGCCGGCAGCCTTGTTCTAATTGGTTCATATTTGTGACGTATCCGTTATTGAAGCGCATGTACCCTAAAGTGACGCGCCCGAAACGTGGCCCACTGTTTTTTTTTGCCTGTAGAAACAGCAATATTTTTACCAGTATTGTTTTCACAATAAGTGACATGATCAAGCTCCGACATTTCCGTGCATAAATTTCAATTTTTTGTTTCTCTTTCAAAGTTCCAATGAAATTTCATTTTGGCCCCATTTTCCGACTTTTTAAAAATCAAAATAACGGAGAAATTTTCTTCATACTTTAAGTTGAATATGTATGTTGCATGCATGGTTATCAGTCAAAATGTACAATGGTAAATTGACTGATTGCTATGGAGACCTCGGTATAGTAGTTCTCGGTTTATATAATTCTGTGGTCAAACTCTATACCTGAAGTCAATGGCGACGCTGATGACTAGTAGTGGGACGCAATAAACTTTTAATCGCCTTCGACCGCGGGTCGCAGGGGAAACACACATATTCTGAGTTAATACTGAGAATGACTATTACTATTTTTATCCACGAGGCATTGCCCTTCAGTGTCTTCACTCATGAGGCAGCACCCTTACCTCCATCATATATTTCCAAGCAATACTGGCGCAAAGAAACAGCATATATCAAAAACTTTCCTCAACAGCAGTGTCGGAGAGTCCGCTAGGGAAGACCTACACGTACAGTTGTAGGTCAACTCGACTGTTTGCCAACTCGACTCCTGACCAACTCGACCGTCGACCAACTCGAATTCGAAACGAGTCAACTCGACCATTTACCAATGTATTAGACAAACTCTTTCCTTAAAAAAATAAATATTAAAAAGGGGCAAAATGAAGACCGGATCGCAAAAATTATGGATGCTAATTTCGGCTCAATGAACCCACAAGATCAACTGATATGCAATCAATAATTGAACTTGTGCCAACGAGATACTCCAAATTAATTTTCCCAATTTGAGAAGCACGCACGCATGCACGAACCCCCGAAATCTGTCACTACACTGTGCGCATGCACAGATCACATCACGCACAGTAAAACAAATTACACGCGCGATCCAGAAGTAGGTTCCTTCTATGCCCTGTCCCTGTTGCACCGTTTGCACGGTCGAGATTCACCGAGTTGGTCGAGAGTCGAGTTAACCTTTATAGTTGAAGGAACAACGGTCGAGTTGGTCGATGGCCGAGTTGGTCGATGGCTGAGTTGACCTGACACCCGCGTGGGTATGCCCAACAGTCAACAATTTTCTTTCACGCCTTTTGCCACAAATCTTTGATCAACTGTAGTGCGCCCTCTAGTGCTACCATCTACGGCGGTACGGTACCGTCGATCCAGACCAGTAAATAAGTTGCTATAGGCAAAGGTCATAAATGTCTCCACTTCAAAACATCTGGAAAAATACTCACACATTTCACAGATGTTCAAGACACATATCAAATTAGCTCACCTTCTCATCTATCATTTCCTATTCAATTTTCAGAGGCTTAACCGATGACTTTTGAAGATATTTCTCTTCAGAGAAAATCACACCTCAAAACAGTCAGGAGGCTCATCGCTATTTTGGAAATTGATGCTTACACTCCATAGCCAAATAAGCAATTTGGGGGGCCCCGATACTTTCAAAAAAGTAAGTGACAGTGAAATGGAAGTATCATTGCCTTTTTCTCTATTCTAATTCAGACAATGCCGATATATCAATAGGCCTACTACACACATTTCACTATAATAGCAAAATAACAAGATATGTATTACCGAAAATGGGTCACTTGGGAGACATTCCCACAGGAACGTGAATAAATCTGAACCAAACTTTGTATGTTTTCAATTTATACCCTAATCTATCATCTCTCAAAATTTGGACAGTAAAATGTGGCCTCCTACTCGTAGTTGGAGCATTAGGGAGACATTGAAATGTCGGCATAAGTTACGTAAGTAACAATGCAAACAAATACATCATTTTGGTACCAGTGATACTTTGATTTCTTTTATTTTTTAAAGCCTTTAATTTTTGGACTTCTACTGATGGGTGGAATACGCAATGGAGTACATCTCACAACGAAACCTAAGAGTTGTGGGCACTGCATTCTGAAACTTCAAATGGCTAAGCACAAACATTTGCTTAAATAATAACCAGCTAACTTTTCATGTGATGTGCTCTGTAAAAGTGGTCTGTAAAAGTGCTTCTCGACTGATTGCTTGCTACATGTACATGTACATGATTCTTAAGAATTGAGGCTGATTTACATGTAGTTGGCAGTATAATTAGTAATAATGGTCTATATTATTATTAAATACATTACAATCAAATTACATGTAAGAACCAATGATTGGAAGATCATTACATGTACACCACTTTACAAGAATGAAACATACATGTACTTAAATACGAAAATACAAATGTACATAAACCTGGATGCTTTAACCATACTTCACAGGGTTAATAAAATATTCATATTAGAAACTTACTATGTAAAATAATAACATGTACTCAGTGTAGAGACAACATTGCTCAAACCTGCACAGTAAGTCTACAAGTACTACATGTATATAACCTGGCCATAAATTATTCATGAACAGTATGTGCATGCATGATTCAAAGTACAGGATGCATGTAAGACAGTGCTGCTTTTGTCATAGAAATATGATAAATAGGAGGGAGTTATTGTTAAATACCGTAAATGGTAATTATAAATGCTGTACTGTTTGTCAATGGTACAAGTATGTCCATGTACATTCACCTACATTGATTAAAATGCTGAAATACTAAAGTGGGCCCTTCATTATAATACATGTATCTCAAATATTATTGTCAACCACTTTGTAAACTGAATTTTGTCATTTTACTGAAAAAAGTTCCTTTTACCTAATGGTCCCTGTAATAATACTTGAAAATCTCTGCATCAAATTTCACTTTTCACTGTACATGTACATGCACATTTAAGAGAGATTCTGCTGGGACCAACATCAGGACCTCTGTGTACTTAAGGCTGATCTACACAAAAAACATTTTCGACGAATATTAAATTTATTAAATTTCTTAAAACTGTAGCTTTACATGTGTGTGAGATTATGAAAATTGTGACTCTGTGTGTGAGAATATTGTGACTCTGAGATACACTGATTGGAGTTCAATGGACATTATTTTTAGTAACATTCTATTAAAGTGGGTTTAGGTTATACAATGTAAATGTATTACTCCTGGTAATTATACCACTTTATACTTCAGTTTTATCTTCAGTTAAGTGCTCAATAACAGTAACCTGACTGGTAGTAGTGAATACCGGGTATTTTTAATTTGACACACTTAAATTCAATAACGTGTCAATATCAAGAACACTAATATTCAGATTAATATTATTAATACCACTAGCACTGGCAAACAAAGACCAAAACTCACAAACTGCAATCAGGGACTTTGCTAGTGACAGCGGAGCAAAAGAAACTTTTTAAAACATTTATCAGTAAATTGTTGGTCAGCAAATCCAAGACTTCTCCAAAAAAAGAATTTTTTTTTCCAGTTTGGAATCCGGAAGGTTGGCGGATCCAAGAACCAACTTAAAAAACCTTTCACCTTAATAGATGGGAATTTAGCAAATTACTACCTTTATGCTGAAAAAGGTTTCCTAGGAATATCTTATCTAAGGACTAAACATATTACTGTTTCCACATATGGTATTTTGCAACAGTTATATTTAATCAACACATCAATTTTCCATGCATGTCAATTTTAATACCTTCACATACGCATACATGGAGATGTAGATGGATGTATGTAGATGAATTCACTTTAAAAGACCACAAAACAAAGAATCTCCTGTGTTTTTCCAAAAATAACTTCACAAACCACTTGATGACCATTTCTCCAAATCTGCAAACAGTCCACACGAAATGTGCAAGCAGCCTATAACAAACTGTTAGGTTGGCATAAATCTTTGGAAAAAGTGAAAAAACAAAGCCATATTTGTCTATTTAAAAAACACCACATTCTGACACCGGGTGACCTTTACCCCAATTTCAATTTCAATTCAATATTCAGTTCAATTACAATTATTTCCTCCTCATGGCAAAGTATAAGTACTATTAATGTATGAGATGGGCCACTAGAGGTGGCAACACCTTGAAAGCAAAGCTTGTATCAGGCATGCCATGACAAGAAACAAACAAGACAAGACAAAAGAAATTACATAATACAAACAGGATACACAATGAGCATCAAATAAAAAGAATGATGAATGAGAGCGCAACAGCAGGGGGTTATATACTGGATCACACATTCAACTATACAGGGCTTCACACAAGGAAGCCTTTGAGCAAGTGCAGCTAAGAATTTGCTCAACCCTAATAGTCCTCAGTCCTCCAACAGGTGAAGGATTGAGGACTGTTAGGGTTAATGATGATGCAATAGAGGTCTTTTAAATTTTTTTGTGAAATGACTGCTAGTGGTGAGGAACTGCCCAAGTTTGGCCTTCACTAAATGAATAACATGGCCAAAGCATTTTGAAATTTTCAAGAAAATGACCCCCCATGGTTGCTAGGTGACTTGACACCAATCTGACCACACCTTATTAATGTATCCCCAATGTTTGGTAAACTTGGCAAAAAAGTTTGAAGGTTTGGTAATTTCAAGTCTACTGTGAGAAAGACTTCTGTACAGAAGACCACAACATAGTATCCACCAGTGCTGTGCATGTGTGCCAAGAATGGGCATACAATTAGGCAGTCACCACTAACAGGCTAAGCCACTACCCCTTGTGATTAAGGGCCAAAAACCTCAAACTTAAAGCTGTTCCTTAACACACGTTATATGTATTTGCTCGACAATTGTACATTGGAAATGCCATGCAGTTTATTAAAGGTTAAGAGAAATTGAAAATATTTAGTTCATGTGAAGTATTTCAAAATACAAGTAACAATAAATACGTAACCAGTTCAAAAACAGCATTCAATGTTATCCCCATTAATTGTGACCCCAAAATGAATAAAAAGATCCTGCATTTCCCCGCCAACAAAAAGTCCCCTTTGGGCCATTCAGCTTCCCAGGCTGATTTGATGATGTCATTGCCAGAACGCCTAAATGTACACTGCTTGCACTAGACCATGTTGTGTTCGATGTAGCTAATAGAAATCCTCACACAAAATTGAGAATCACCAATCTTATATAATTATCTTCAATTTTTTACACAGTTTTCTCTAAGTACATGCATGGTTTTCTCTAAGTACATGCATGTACATGTGCAGTACCAGTACTTTTACAGGCACCCAATTGGCCAAAATCACATTCAGATCTGTCCATTCAATACAACTTCAAGCAGACTTGGTTTTACCATAACAAATTTTTGCCTGCCTTTTTGCAAAATGCAAGAATACATGCACACTTGCTTTCACTGCCACGAGGTTGGGTTGGCATGGTGTCAAAGATTTTGATGAACTGCTATGGCTTCATATTGCACATTACATGTACATGAACGAAGCATATAGGTCTAAACTCCACGGACTGCATTGCCAGTATTAGCAGCGAATGGCAATGAGGTAGTTTCATCATCGGCAGGTTGTGCATATGAAAAATATGACAAGCACAAAACCTTGGACAATGGACGCAGATATTTAATCTATTATTAGATGGGCAATTACAGACTATTACTATCAGGTTTGTTGTTGTAGCCACTTTTGAAGAATTAAATGTTTAATTTCATTATAACTCCTGGTCTGACAACGTCGTCAGCCCAAATTTTGCACTAACTTTGCAGGCATAAAGATCATTCCATACACAAATTTTCAAGTGATTCCAGCAAACTTCACTACAGACATCTATTCAAAGCAGATTTCAGAATTTTTTCAACCGGTCACCAGAGGGTGCTTAAGTACTGCGTGACATCACCAGTACACGTTATAAAGAATGCTACTGTGTCAGAGACTAACATTGTTGAAAGTACATGTAGGTTCACATCTATTAGCAATTTTAAATTAAAAAGCACTTCCACTTTTGACCAGAAATAAGGGTCACACGATTTTACGTACACAAGAAAAGTAAAGACCTTTGAAGGGTTTGCAATGACTTGCATGAAAAGCAAGTTGTGGGAAGTCACAGTTGAATATGCATTTTTTAAAGATTAAAAACAAATCCAATTTTATTACCCTGTAACTTGACATTAGTGAACGAAACAAATGTGGCTGGATTCAATTAAAAATCTTGAACAGCAATACCATTTTGCATTTCACAAAGTGACAGATATGACCACTAGTTGAGCTTTGCACTTAATGTGTAAAGAAACCAACAGGGAGCTGTTTTGAGCAGACTGATTAGCCCATATGTCCTTTACATGTAATTGATCGAAAAAATGAAGGAAAAGAATCCTTTTCTGTGTTTTTCATGAAAGTGACCACTATTGACTAATGAATGACCCTTTCACATTAATCTATAGAGTCCTTGTTGAGAATGAAGGCCAGTGACGTGACTGCACCACAATTTCACTTCATGGGATGGTAAATGACAGCATGGAAATCAGCAATACCACTAAACATCACCAAACTATTGTGCACTAGTATACCTGTGTAAATTAGGCAGCTGCTAAGGTGATTTAGGTAGGTTGTAAAATTCCTTTCATTTGGACTAAGCAATCCTCTGTGATCAGTTCAATGCATTTGTAACAGATGACAGCCTTGATTCTCAGCTCCATCTTGAGCTCTGTAATTGATTTTAAACACTATTAAACCCAAATAGAAAAAAACTTGGGTTTCACATTAAACACTGTTTCTGCAGTAGAAAAAATGAGCTGCATTTGGGTGATTAGAGATAAAAATGGGTCTTGATGCCAAAGACAGATATCAAGCTGAAATTTTAACCCCGCCCCTTTGGCAAGTATAAAATGCACAGTTCAAAAGTAGAAAAAAATCAGGGAGGACCAACCTTTGGTCTTGCTGGCAATGGGGGTGGAGCTGCTGTGAGAATGGACATGGTACTATCAGCTGCATCATTCCGCATGTCTTGGGATACAGCACTAACAGAAGTGTTTCTGGTCAAAGGTTGACCTGGTCTACTAGGAGGAACAGGTGGGGGAGCCACCAGTGGTAATTGGGGCTCAACGTCCATATCAAGAAGCAAAGCATCTGGCACACCGATGCTTGAACGAGCTGCTGGAATCGGTGGAGCTGTCCGTGCAGGAGCTATCAGCACTAGGGGCCGATCATCTAGGACCTGGCTGCCATTACCTGTGCAAGTACTGTTGTTGCTGTTTGTCTGATCTGGGAAGGCCTCCCACTTGTCATTGATGATGTTGAAAACTGGGTTTTCTAGTGTTCCATGTTCACTGGCAGGAGACGCACTCACATTCCTCTCCAAGACTTCTGTCTGCAATCTTTGGGGCCTGGAAGCAGGAACTGGTGGAGGAATTGTTGAATTTAGTAAATGATCACCTTTTGTATGTCTGTCAACTGATGCAGATTGGACTGGTCGTGCCTTTGGAACTGGAGGTGGTGGCAAAGAGGGAGGGGGTAGAGTAGGTGGAGGCAAGGAGGGCATAGGTAACTCCTCTTCAGTATCAGACAACCCATCAGCATCAAGACATGCCTCAGGTTTGGCCTCTAACTTGGCTTTCCTTGGCCTCGTCACAGGAACAGGTGCAGGAGCACTTCCAATGGTTTCCTTAGCTGATTCCTCTCCTAATGATTTGACCTCAGTGATCACATTCTCTCCAACACAGATGGTACTTGGCATAACAGCACTCCTTGGCCTAGGAACAGGGCGCCGGGGAACAGGAATTGGTGCTAGCGGTTGCTGGAACCTACCACTGAGTCTCTCATTGACTTCATTGTCCCAACTTTCCAGATTTCCCTTACTGGCATTTTGCTTTGGTAGGGCACCTTGTTCCCCAATGGACCCCACTACATGTAGGTCCCCAGAGCTGTGCACTTGACGCAAGTTGGTTTCTGTTGGGGAAGGGGCAAGAATTTGAGAGGCAGGTCCATCCATCCCAAGGTCTTGGAGAAGTTTCCTTGCCTCTGCTTCTGAGGTGGCATGGGCTGTATGGCTGACCTCAAATGGTTTGCTGATTCCACTTGTCTGAGACAAGAAACAGAGAAAAACTTTGCTTTCACATGTAGTTATTAATGTTGACAAGTTTAGCCAATACATATACATATCCTTTATAAAGGCCACTGCCATCTACCACATTGCTTATTTAAAAGACATACCGGTAGCTCAATGATAGAAGACAGTTTGACTTCTTTTCCAAGCCAGTTTATGATAATAGTTTTTATTAGTCTAAAAATTATCATTGTGGGCAGCTAGTAAATTGGCTGAAATTATGCTGTGATAGGTGCAAGTTGTATTCAGGCATAGGTAGTGCATGGTTCCAGTTGGGTTTTCACACTCATTCTGCATGTGTGAGTTGTAAGCATAATGCATGCAATAAAGACACATAGTACAAATGAAGGAACCACAAGTTTCCTTGGGTGCATGCATAGAAATGCACCAGGCAGCAAAGAGAGGTCACAGCTGGGACACCAACTTTTCTAACTGCACAGACTTCCACTGTGACAATGAAATTTCTGTCTGGTGTGCACCTTCTACATGAGACCTTTGCTTCCTGCAGATCCAAAGCCAGTATTTGAATTCAATATGCTGTCATAAACACAGAGAATTTGACATTATTCAGAATACCATTTCAGCATTATTTTTTTTGTAGTTTAATTGCAAGCTTCACAAATAAGACACCGTCACTGACGAAAATGTCCACCATTTCGTATTTTGGCCCATTTGTGAAAAAAACCCAGTAACTAAAATTCAGCATACTTAACAAACAAGGGAAAAACTTCCAAAAATTAGAGATTTCACATCCCTGTATAACATAAGGCATATTACAGACAAATGTTCTCCATCACTGAAGTACATTATTATGCATTCATAATTCTCTCAAGATATTACAAACCATAATTCTCTCAAGATATTACCAATCATAATTCAAGATATTACCAACCATAATTCTCTCAAGATATTACCAACCATAATTCTCTCAAGATATTACCAATCATAATTCTCTCAAGATATTACCAATCATAATTCTCTCAAGATATTACCAACCATAAATGTACATTGATGTTGAGAACTGAGGATCATCAGTATATTGTGCCTAAAACTACTGAACTGTGAACACTCCTAACAGGAAAAGCATGTCAACATGTGTTTGGAAACCCAGCTGTGTCATTTTGACAGCTAGTTACTGCACATATTTGATGCCGTGTGGGCTATGCTATCCAATCTGCTGTAAGCAAATTTCCAGGTGGGAGAAGGATCTCTTTGTTTGCATTTGAAAAAAAAAATCAACAAAAGAACTTTTAAATTCCTTCATGAATTTTAAATTTGTGGAATTTATTCTTCTTGAATAGAAACACTACATGACGAACTTTGCTTCTGCAACAACAATTAAGATCAACATCCACAACAAAGCCCCATGCCGGTTGTTATCTGGTACCTCGCTCAAAAAAAAATATGAAGCATCACACTGAAGCCTCCATTACAACTGATTGAAGCAGCCAAGCTTTATGATGGCAGTTCCAAGGCATCTGTGTGCCCCCAACATGGCTATGTCAGTTCAACCAAAATACAAGTACAGTGTACTTGAATTTTCTTCAATTGGCCAAGTCCAAAAATGCTTTTGATAATCCAGCAAAACATACGTCATCATTTCTTTGTCAAATCTAATTTACAGGTTGACAGAGCAGACAAAGTGATCTTACCTGGCCTAAGGTAGATGACTTGTTTGTTAGGCTAGGAGTTGGTCTTGAAGGTACTGTATTTGGCCTAGGAGGTGGTACCCCTGGCCTAGGGGGTGGGACAACTGGCCGAGAAGGAGGGACTGCTGACACGTTTTCCACTTGCTCTTTTGTCACCATACCAATCTCCAGCTTCCCTATTGGAGTCACAGCTACCTCTGGCTCGGGCGGGCAAACTTGCTTAGAAGCCGGGGCTAAGGGCCTGGAGGGTGGGTTGGTGGGCCTGTTTGGGGGTGGTGGCCTGGATGGTTTGGGCAGGGTAGGCTTAGCAGCCAGGTCTGCCACCTCGCCCTGAGGGGTATTAGGGCGGGAGGTAACTACCTGGGGGATCAAAGGAGCGGGGAGGGGTGGGGCTTCCTCAAGCTCTTCAAAGCATTCAGTATCCTCATCTTCATCATGTGAAATAGAAAATAAGAGACAGATAATGAATGGCAGTGAAATTCAGCACAGGACGAAGTAACACTCAGCTGAGCTAATACAACAAATCATGGAATATGCCTTTAAGTGATGTTTATTCAGTGACGTGAATGACATGCAAGGCTTGCTACAGTTTGACACAAACTATTAGTGTAGGTATGAAACCATAGACTTTAATTAATCATGGGTCGACCATATTAAAATAACAATTGATTTGAACACATCATTTTAAAACTAGAACCTGTCTCCTCGTAATTTACAATTTGTAATTAAACATACAAAAGTGTACCTTAGTGTTTTAAGCCAGATTAAGAGAAATGTTGAGATGGAGTCTTGGAATGCAAGGCAATCAGAATACAGTCAGGTGCCATCTTAATGGACAGTTTGCCATTTTTAACCACTTCCTGCCGGGGACTCCGGGATCGGAGACGTATGGTTAATATGGGTGGCCGGGGTCTCCGAACTCGGACAAAGGAAACAGGGCCATGTAACAAAAGACGAACTTAATCAATATGTATGCAGATGAGTGTATGTTTTCTGTACCGTAACTGTATCACATACATGTACGTACTGCACTGTCGAGTCATGGTGTGATATGCAAGTGGCTTTGTCCTTAGGGGCACATGATCAATTATCAAATTGTAGCCCGTGAGGATAATAATCGAAAACGGATTTGCTGGGATCGACCAAGGAGGTAGAAGTAAACCAGGGTAAATAATGAAATTAGCATGTATACTAGAAAGTACTGAATATTTCATCAATCTGGGATATCATGTTCATACCATCCATGTCAAAGCTCATCGACGGAATGTCAAAACCTTCCCCTAGCAGGCTATTGCTCACAGGATTGAATAGTCGCTCAGTATTAGGTGCACACATGGCTAGTTCCTTCTCCAAATTGTTAACCCAGTCTTCTGTCATCAATGTAACATGAAGCTCCTTGTCACCAATCTGCCAAAAAAAAGAAAAAAAAAGAATGATAGTATTCAGTCAATATGCTTTAGCGAAGGCCTGATTACGAGGTCCTGACTAATGCAGTTATCCCCTGAAAGACCTATATGTATTCTCGGCTGAAAATACTACTTAGAGCAAACATCGCGATTGAATAAGTCACAAGAAACATAAAAATGCAAGGCATTTCATAAAGTAAAATCTCAGCTCAAACCTGAGTTATGGATAAAAACCTTTGAGATATCTAGATGTTAAGCTGATTCCTGAGTCTAATACCAGTACATGTACGGTAAAGTCATAATTATACCTACACATACATGTAAAGTATATATAGTAAATATGTAACAGCAACTCATGATGGTTATAGGTGGAAAGGTTTGCGGTAGCACCATGCGAAGGAACACATCTCTTATGAGTATGTGTGGTTCTGAAAAGAAGCGGGAGACATCATCAGACTGGAAGTTATAAAAAAAGCTCTGCATTCTTCAAAATTCCCTTAAAAATCAACCGCAAGAGGAAGAAGCATGAATTGTCTATAATATGATAGCTCAAGCATTAGAGTCCATTGCATCAAATGCATAACTGGTCTACTTGTTCGCACATATAAAGCTCTGACAACAAAAATGCTCCTTACGATATTTGGGCACTTAAGAATCCCATGCATACATATACAATGTGTATTGGCTTCTATGTGGGTGAACACATTATATCTACCTATAACAAAGACACTGCACAGTGCATAGCCATACTCAGGGCATTGAAACAAGCACATGGCGCTGAAGTCAGATCACTTTGTATTGAATGCCAAATGACCAAAATGTCATTGCAACATGTGGCCATTTGTATGGAACGCCAAAACATTTGAAATCCAATAGAACCTATTCCGTGTTTTTTTCTCGATGAACACAACATTCACTTGTATTGTACATATCCAATTGGGTTGAAACCTTGCAGGTATCGGTAGCTAAGAATGAATCAATGTGTTATAGACGATCATTGACCTTGAGTACATAGTAATGACAAATAATGTGACATGAAAGGAGCACTCTTCAAAGTACTGTATCTTGTGAAGTACACGTCCGATAGGGTTCCAACCTTGGAGATATCTTGAAAAGGGAGTGTTTTAGTGGAATATCAACCTACAGGTCCTAAAGTGCATGTCTGATTGGGTTCAAAACTTGGACCTACATGTATATGGACATGATCAAATTGTTATACCAACTTAGGGTTCTCCTACGTTTGGTCACATGACCTTTCCTTTCATTATTTGACTGCTGGCGTGCAGGCTACAATTAGCCAAGAGGTAGCAATCAGGCTACATGTACTTTGAAAGCCAGAATTTACTGCAGTTGCTGGGTGGTAAATGGTACAAGTTGGATTGACTGATATAGAGACAAAGTATGCTTGGCAATACTGACTCATAATATACTCTACATTTTTTGGTGGTTTGGCAGCAGTTTCTTTTGGTTTGGCCTCAAAAAAGAGGTAAGTGGATGTGGAAATGTGGCCGTTTTGAGTTACGGAGGTTTTTTTTAACATATGGTTAATTCCAGAATTAGGGGTCCATTTTTTCCTGTCCCTGTCACATCTGACATGATTTTGTAAGTTCAGAACACATTTTGCAATTTCCAAGAGTAATGAATTAATGCAAATTACCTGCCAAACAAGTAGTAACAGTTTGAAATAAATGAATTCTGGTGATATTTCCATGTCAAATAGCAAAGGTCAGATGTAACAGGGACACAAAAATTTCACACTTTTGGACCCCTAATTTCTGGAGTAACCCATATGTAAAAGCCTGTTCTTTTGATAGGAATGACAAATGTCTTCAAAATAAACAGAATTTAGACTTGGACGGAGTACAATGATCAAATGACTTATCATCCAGTCTTTGTAGAAGTACAAAGTAGAAAGGGGCTGATAGGAACCATTTCACAGCTGAGCTTCAGCATTGATATTTGAAAACAAACAGACCCCTGTATTGATGACACCACAACTTGTTTACGTGTGTGCTTTCCTATGGTACTCAGTGGACCATGGTCCCCACTAACTCTGAAGGAGAGCGCAGACACAAACAAAGTGTAATGTTATCAGAATATTGGCCTATTCGTTGAACCTTCAGCACTTGGTGGGTCCCCCCAAAGGGAAATTGTTGCTGTATAAAGTGTGCCATACTGCATCAACTATTTATTTTGGAGAGCTTATTAGAAACATTCAACTTGCCTCAGTTCCATCCAAAGTCCTTGCTGACAGAGCACTGTATCCATCTTTAAATGTAACAACCATGCTGGTCTCTACAAACCTGACACATAATCAAATATTACACCAATTAAGAAAAATAGCAGATTTTGCTTTTAAGATGTGTATTTGCCAATGATAGGTATCAATGGCTAATTACAAATGGATAGTCCATCACTGAGTGATATCCAAATTAGTTCCCCAAACAATTCAATGGTATGCAATCAAGGATATGCCTCACAACCAGCTGCAGACTTCTCTAATGAATTTTACTCATCATAAATGTCTAATTTTATTGCTGAACTGAAAATCCATTGCAAATCAGAGAGGATCCATCCCATGATTTCTTTCAAATACAATCCTGGCAAATACTTAACAAAAATTGTGATGTTACTTCATCCAAGAAATCCTTAATGTTAAACTGCACAAAAATCTTTGGAAATGTTTTATATTTGCCGTTGCATTGATTCCGTATGCATTTATTTTAAGAAATGGGTAACCAATTTAGTTACTTGTCCAACAAACTACATGTACGCAAGCAATTTTCAGTCCAGCTCAGGCATACATGTACTGTGTAAATTGTAATGCATAGGCAATCAAGAGAAACCTTAATCTATTCACAATAGATGGTAATATCACAAACATAAATCCCAATCTGGTGAGTCATAAAATAATTAAATTTGAATAAAGTGATATTCGATTTTGGATTTATAGGAACCTGTGTGTGATGGCTACACAAGGACTTTATACAGGCAAACCCCTAATGCTGACCAAAATATCTCATTGAAAATAATGTAGCATATCTGTAGCTTGATGACACTAGACATGTATGTACACGAACATGTACTGTATGTGATTTAACTGCAACAATAGTATACAACTGCCTCTGTGACAAGCTTCCAAAAGATAGAACTTAAAATCAAGAAGTGTAATATGTGTGTGCTTGAATTTGCATTGTTGAATTGCTGAATCTTGCAGAAATGAAGAAATAACTTGATGTTTGTCTTCACAATTAAGAGGTATCTCTAAGCTTTAAATACATGTACATGTATGTTATGAATTTCACTCAATTACACATGTACCCATTCAACCAACCATGCACTATTTAACTTCAACTCCATTTTCAACTGATTTCACATATTGTTAATTCAATTGATTGATGATAAAGAAACTGGATCTGCTACATGTACATCATGACATTCTACTGCTCATGCAGAATGTTGTGGCCTTGTGGTGTGTGTGCCCTTGGGCAAGGCACATTGTCACTCATTGCCTCTCTCCACCCAGGAGTAATTGGGTACCTGTGAGGGCAGAGATGGTTATTGTGGTTGATTTAGCTGCTTTGTGCCGAAAATGGCAGCATTGAGCTGTATACTCCCCAGGGAGCTGAGATGGTACCGGTATTTGGAATGTTTCATGGGCCCAGTGAGCGGGGCTAATAATGATGTACAGCACTTTGATCCATGTTAAAGGCGCCCTATAAATACCTATACTACTATTATTATTCAATTAAAGTAGAAAAGAATAATAAATCTTCAGATTTTGTATTACAGATACTAAGAAAACTTGAATAGGATAGGGCATAGGGCAAATAATCTGCACGAATAATGTTGAACTAAAAAAAACACCTGAAAAGTCTTATAGCCCAAAAAATTTGAGTAAACACAACTACTGACAAAATTCTGTAGTAACGGAATAAGCACTGTACCAAAATGAATGACTGCTTGGCAAAGTTGTCCAGCAAAACCTGTATTTAAAAGGAACACAAAACAAAAGAAGGTCTCACCTGACAAGTACAGCTTCCCCAACTTGCCCTAACAATTCCAAAACTTGATCTACAGTGTCATCATCAAAGTCACATGCTTCTGGTCTTCTTAGGGCTGTCAAGGTGAGGATTATTGTGCCATCTGGTGGACCTTGCTCAAAGACAACATCATGGTAGATGCTGGAGCATTTCTGGTCATTTATCTTCAGGACTTCCACCTCAATGATAGCAAACACTGGTCTAAATGAACAGAAAAAAAAAGATTGAATGGCTCAGGGCCAATAGTATAGAGTTGTTGCATGTATACAAATGAAACTGGCTAAATGCAGAAAAAGATTTCCCTATTAAGAAAAATCTGGTTACAGGCAAAAAAACATGCAATGTACATGTACAAGTACCAGTGTTTCTATAGTCACTGGTTCCCAGATTTCAAATTGCTGGATTTTTCAATCTTATGTACATTTGCCTGCATAGTTTGCAAACACATGGTGAAATCTTTTTTTTTGCTTAAACAGCCAGAAACAGCTGGCCAGGCATTGTGCAGTTTAACTAATCACTACTCTTTATACTTATCCCCCATCTACATACCTTGAGATCCAATTTATTATTTTGCAAGCGCAATGATTATACTTGGGGAGTCCTTGGGACTTTTTATTGGCATAATTTAAAAAAATTAGTTTTGCAGCCTGCAAAGGGTCAAAGATCAAAGTTAATTGTGCTTGACCCCCATATTGAAATTTAAGTTTCCCATCTTATTTGCAAATGCATTGATATGTAATTATTTTGTAGACCTGAACATTAAAAATCATCTGACCTTCCTAACTGGAGATACAGGCACTTAAAGTTACTTGTATGGGGAAAAATTGAAAGTTCAACACTTAAATGACTTGTAACTCACAAACCATGTGACCAAAACACTATTTGGTATGTACATGTAACTACATGTAGGAATTTTGTGGGGGGTGTGAATCCTCAAGCAGGCCCAAGCATAGATTTTTGCTTTTTTTATTTTGAAAACGGCAGGATTCATGGGGTTGTACTAATTGTTTTAGAGGGGGTTACAAGTTAACTCCTGAAGACGGGATTGACTGAGGTTAAAAAATACAAAAGCAAACTTTTTTGGGGGGGGGCAAAATTTTCTATTACAGCTCAAAATAGTTTCTTGCCTCAAAAGCGGACCTTTTATTCAAGTGTGTTGGGGGTTGCAGACGCACCCCCCCAGTTATGGGCCTGCCTCCGTTCTTTTCAGAACCACACATACTCAGAAAATGAAAGCCATTTTGTGGTGCTTTCGCAAAACCATGTAACTTACATGTCCAAAAATCGCAAAAAATTTGAAGAAAATTTGTGAGACTGAACTTTAAGTCCAGATGTGAGTCCACGTTTGACACACATGGCCTTGGGTCAAAAGATGCCAGGAGTGGGCTCAGCCTGATGCCAGCTTAAGTCTACACTAAAAAGAACCATTTTGTCATGTTCAACCCCCTTTCAATGTAAAATGAGCAAATAAATGCAACCTTAAACAATACCCTTGCATCACTTCATTTTCAACCAGGGAATTCTACAGCTAGAAAGTGAATTGATATGCTCTATTACATGCATGCTTGTTATTTCAGTAAACTACTGTATTCTATCGTTTGTAGATTTTGCATAGTTTTGATTCCTTTAAAACAAAGTTTTTGAGGGATTTTTTTGGCAAATTTCTATGGTAAGAAAATTATTATAATCTAAACATACGAAAATATCAGTCCTCTTGGCTTATATTTCTGATAACTACATGTAATTACAATTGGGACCCAAAGTCTACAATGTGTACCATAAGTCCACTAAGAGCAATTGTTGGGGTGTGTGTGTGAAAATGACAAAGTTTGTGTCAGATACATGTAGCTGTTGAATGCTACCCCTATTCTAGAGATTTATCAACATCTCTTCAGTCAAGACAGCACATTGTCTCACACAAGAAGAAGACAATATTACCTGTGATCAGAGACTTTCAGTTCTGCCCTGCCATAATGCAATATTCTTCCTGGAGCACAATAACTCAAATTGTCTTCCCCTTTGGTCTTCTTTTGGAATCTACGCTTGCGACGCCTCCACAGGACACGATCTGTCCAAGCCGGGCAGCGATTCTTCTCACTTGTGTCATAATCATTGGAAAAGAGGTCATACTTGTAGGTTGGTGCAAACTGGATATTACCCTCATGAAAACCTTGAAACACCTGAAATGAAAAGATTTCGTTGGGGTTATAATCCAAAAAAGGAAAACTAGGTACCCTGTACTCAGATATGTGGTGCAGAGAAAACCACTGTGATATAACACAAATTATATTCTGTATAAAAGAACTAAGCTAATCACATCTAATAAAAACACCGCATTTTTGAAGCATACATGTACATCAATAATAAGATTTGGGAAGCTCGCAGCATTTTGCTTGCCTTCACAGTCATGGGTGAAGGACACATGTACCTGCATTCTAGTTGAGGCTTAAATATGGCAAACCATTTTAAAAAAGGGAACAGGGAGTGTGCCCAGGAAGAGCTCTGTTAGGACAAATTGTTGTGTAACAAAAAACATCAGAATGTCTAGGGGTCTGGGTGTTGTCACTGGGAAGAGTGTGTGTTTGTCATCAGAACCAAACAGACAGGCATACTGAACATGATGCTTTGAAGGTGGACATAGAAATATGAAGAAACTTTGTGTCAGCACCACGTAAAATCTAGTTGGGATAGTGCTGCAGCCGGACCACCAAAATGAACAAAAATCATCGAACACAACACTTAAGAAAATAACATGACTTTGTAAGCATGCCTTTGTGTTCAACAGGTATGTACAGTACATGGAGTATGTGTTTTCAAGTAACCTTCAAAGATAATAATTGCTACGCATACATGTATGTATGTATATATCTTTTTGAATCCGTTGGTGAATTCAATTCTGTTTTGTTTGAATTCAGCATGAAAGCGGTGTCCACAATCCTGATTTCACCTATGAATTTTGCACGTTTATAAAATGCCTTGTCTAAAACTCAGAAAGATGCCTTAACCATGTAAACCATTGGAAATTATCAGTAGAGTCAGTTTTTTATATGTTCACAATAATAATGAAATGCCATCTCTATTAACTAGCAGTTTACATCATGTGCAATTAGCACTTGCTGAAGCTTTTCAAATAGGGAGGGCAAAATACATGTACAGAGCACTCATTTCATAGCTTATAGGTTTATTTACCAAATGTAACCTTGATTTCTTTTACATATCTTCAAATTGATTGTTCTTTATGCCAAAGATTTTGATTTTGTACACAAATAAATCTGAGGATGTAAGAACCTACTGAAAGTGATTCTGTTAATTTCAGAGTACACAGTACCTCAGTCTGTTCGTCAGAGAAATGAAATGTGGCAGGTGAAGCCAAAGTAAGTTTTACTCAAATCACAATGTGGCCTTTAGTGTGAAAGAGGTAGGCTTGTAAGTACACCATGGAATTTATCTCTTTTGGAAGAGGTATGGTTCTCTTCCAAAAGAGATTGATTCCACGGTGTGCCAGCAAGCTTACATCTCATGTAACTTCCACCACGCAAAGCTTCCAATCTTACATTAGTGTGTGACAATATCGGATGAGTGACAGGAGTATTTTGTGTCCAGAATTCCCCTTTGGTCTGCACCATCTGGATTATTTACTTACAACAGGTGTACACAAGTACGTGTTCCTTCTTCAGCCACTTGTTTTCTCTTATAGAAAAAATTTGATGAAGTATGCTCTTAGATGTAGCCCTCTGATACTTTTCCGTGCACAATGCCTTGCGCCATGCTGCAAATTGAGCATCAACTTGCATGGGCCTATTTGTAAACCAATGATTCGATTGAAATGACTCAGCTGAAGGAGAGCAACCCCTCCATCCTCCTGATTAGCCTGCAATTTACTTGCACATCCAGATCTGTTGAGAGCAATGCCCTGATCTGAACAAATCTTTTCTTTTAAAATTGTCTCGGAACACTGATGTTATGATGAAGTGACATTCCTGTAGAGTTGAATTCTTTACAGACCAATACCTCAAGAGCATCACGTCTGATGAGACTAAAAACTTGTCGGATCCTAGAGCAATAGCACTATGGTATGGTCGCAAACAGAGTTGGGATACATTTGAAAAATTTGGTGATGTCACCACCTGATTTTTTCCAGTTTTCCTTATTTGATATTCTTTACGATGTATCTTTTAAAAAATATTTTCCAGGCTTTTTAAAGACAAAATTTGGCCTGATGTGAGGATGACGTCATCAAGTAACAAGTTTCATGATTTCAAAAGAGTATCTTTTGATGCCCTACATGTATATCTCCTGCAGTACATGTACATGCCTGATTGGGTTGAAACTTGGCACATAGACAGGGAAGAGTTATGGACGAAAATTGATATCATGGGATGATAAGACCTTCAGGTTAAAGTCTCTTGACATTAAAGGTGCACATTTCAAAGAACTATATTTATCTTGTGAACTACACCCAAACAATTGTGTTGCCACTCTGTAGATAGCTAGGAAAGGAATTGTTACATGTACATTGAGAGGATGATGTCACCACCTGAATCAGGCAACCCCACAAAATCCACAAAAAATTCTCTATAATACCTGAACTGAGCCACTACAGTTCAGGAGATTAGGAAGGTGTTACGACCTCTCTTAAGCAATCTTGTAGTAACCATAAGACCACACTGATTGAAGCTCAACCTGACACCCATTGGGATACTATAAGGTTATTTGCAAAGATGGACTAGATGGATCTGGGCGTCATACTATCTATCACCAGCCACGCCAGGCTCAAACGTACAATATGATACTGTATATGTGGACACCACTTGAAATAATCAAAGAAGATGGTACATGTACTTCTGCAGGGACGTCATCACATGCATCAGGTTATTTTAATAAACCCTTGATCAGAATATATATATTAAATCATTCCATTTATTTTAAGTTTGTATACATTTATTTTCGTAAGACTATTTTCTGATTAGTAACCATTGAAATGTGAAGATCATTTCATGGAATTTTGGTTTTTCAAACAGGGCTGGCAGTATGGAAAGAGAAATGTCCAAATAGTCCCAACGCTGCTGTGCCTTTATTCCTCATCAAGCGCAAAGAAGATTCGACAATTCCTTGAATAAGTTATTCCTCCCATAGGAGCAGAAAAATAGGATTTGTCTACTAATGGTATTGAAATCACTGCCTCTGACAAATCATACCACTTCATGTTTGAGTTTAATCTAACTATGGCTGACAGCAAGATGATCAAACTGCTGACAGGGAGAGGAGGGGCATATTATGTCCTTTGTCCTGCAGCCAGAGAAGAAAGCCATTATCTGCAGCACACTGAGGAAGGTTTTCAAATCGGAGAAGTAAATAATGAAGCTCTGATGAGGAATCTCTTTCAAGATCTGCAAGATGAAGGGCAAGTCAAGACCAGACCCGGAGATAATGAGAAGCGATTAGGACTCACACAAACACCAATCACCAGGTGTGACATCAAAGTCTTCCCAAAACTGCATGCAACTCTACGCGCCATGGAGTGGATTTTGAAGATTGTGTACCACTTGGCTGCTGGAATAAGAAGCTGAAAAGAAAACTTCACGAACGAGGGAAAGATCAAGAAAGTTAAAGAAAAGGTGCAGTCCTACTTAAACGAGAAAACAGGCATATGGGTTGATGAACTGCATCCAGTAAGCACAGGGGGAACATCTACAACTGGCCCGATTTCAAGGCCCTTGCTTCAGGAGAGTGAAAAACGTTAAATCCTCATGGAATGTGTACCGGAAAGAGCTGACGACACATCAGAACTATATCAGATCATTGCAAATGTTTCGATTATTCTCCGTCTGGTATCATCTACAGTATTTGTCAATCCTGACAAATTATACACACTTTGCAAAGACACAAGCATGATGTTTCTTGAGCACTTCCCAAACTTCAGATTCACATGCTCCATTCACCAGCTTCTTGCCCATAGTGCTGAGTTGATCTCAGCAAACAAAAACCATGGCCTTGGAACGCTGTCAGAGGAGGCTCTCGAAAATAGCAACAAAAACATTCGAAAATACAGGGAGCAGCTCTCCAGGAAAACTACACAAGAAGACAATCTAAGTGACGTATTTAACTGTCTTTGGTTACAATCAGACTCAGTGCTCTGTACGTTTTGCCACCATGTGTGCTCTTGTCCAAAGAAGAAAGCAGATTTTGGCAGACTGACCTCTGAAGACGAGCTGTTTAACTACTTACTTCGTTAAGTCACAAACAATTTCTGCAGGTAGGGCCTATTCCATTCACTTCATGAAGATTAACTAGAAAACTGTGAACTGAACAATTTATTTCAGTGTTCATTTTAATGGCTTTTGCATTTGGGTACAAAAACTGACATGCACAAAATAATAATAAAATAGTCATCCTTCAAAATTGCATTCCCAAATCATTGTTACCTTAATTTAATCTTTATTTAACCCAAAACTAACAATAAAATTCACCAAAGAGTGTGCTAATACCGTGCCAGTAAAGCAGGACAAGCATTAATGCCAATTTCGTCAAAAGAGGGCGCTAGGCATAAGTAGCACCCTCTTTCAGATTTTGTTCCTTTTTTACCATTTTCAACCTAGTTGAAAAGAAACTAGTCCTAGTTTCTTTTCAATCTAGTTTTCCATACCCAGAGATGATGTTCAAACGTGCTTGAAAAGGACTTTTGCTCCTTCATTTTCTCGCTATTTACTGATGTCTGGGTCAACTATGGTTTGAAACCACTGAGCCTTGTCTACTGATTCTGTATGTCAATGGACTTAATCATGTGACAGCTGCAACTTTTACAATTTCTGAAAGGTACTCCAACCAAAATCCTTGTTCTGGAAAGTACTGTACTTATAGCAACAAAAGTACTATACCTGAGAAAAAAAAGATCAGCCATGAGTATACGTAAGGCTGTGAATGTGCGCAGAGTGGGAGCAGTGGGTGGAGTATGGGACTGTGGAAGTGTTTATCTCATAACAACCTGCTTACATTTCCTTCTTTCTTTTGTTGTAGCAACTGATCATATGCCTTCAGAGCCTCATATTTCTCTTGGGCAATAAACTCCTTCAGCTGGTCTTTGTCCATGTCAATGCGATAGTTGAAATCCCCACACCAGAAGACATAGTCATGAGTTTCTAACGTCCGACCCTGAAAAGAAACCATGGGGTCAACAATATTTTTTTTATTCTGTCCACTATTCTGTGAGATAACATTTTTAGTTATGGATGAATAGAGCTTGAAAGTGAAAGGTTACCCTCCTGCACCCAGCCTACAGGTATTTTACAGAATACCCTATCACATTCTAATTTTTTGAATGAATGATTTCTAAATAGAACCACTCAAAGAACACTCATCTGGGAATTTTATCTTTATGTTCTTCAAGTAATATTGTAGCGAAGTCAACCAGAGTTGGGTAAAAAAGAGAATTTCATCAATGACCGTCAAGTTTTGGCTTTATGATTCCAAAATCCCGTTGGTCACATACCTTTGTTCTCACTTTATGCACTTACATGTATGTGGGAATGACAATCGTCAAACTTGGTGAAGATTTACTGACATTTGATCTAAATTCAGACAGGCATGCCCGATACATTTCATGGCAGTAAACGTTAGATGAGACTTTAGAATTCTTTTGTAAATGCTGAGAATTTCTGACTTCATTTTGGCCTACTGTTTTAATTTCAGTGTTTCCCTGAAGACTACCATAGAACGATTTTGTAACTTTTCATATGCATATATCAAGTACACTAAGTTGCACTGGTCATCATGCATTTTAGATTTTTGGAAGGAAGAAGTCAAGTTTTAGCATACTATTTCTCTTTTAAGTCGGGCAAGTTTTCAGTTTCTATAACCAATATGCTAGCAAATATTTTGCAAAGGGCTATTATGAAGGTGATTTTCAAAGAAGTAAAAAAAAGATAGCAAATTCTCTAAAATGTTTGCATATTATTTTTCCAATTGAAGGGTTCCGAAAGCATGCCATCAGGAGTCAAATTTCAAATTCTTCTTGTGTTTGGATGACTCCTTGCAGGATAATATACATGTATGCAGCGGGGATGTACATGTAAGTGACCAACGAAGTCATTTCCTGAAAATCACTGAAAGCCAATAAATTGTGTGAGACTGCAAGGGAGGGCTTGCATGACCAAGAGACTAACAGCAAGGGTCCAGACGCCCTTCAGTTTTTAGGGTTTTAACCCCTTCGCAACGGGAACCGTTGACAGCCGCGGCTTTGCATGAGGACTAGTGGATACCACACATACAGTCTATTCACCATGCAGCTGCTGGTTCAATGGGGCCTGCTGATGGACAAAGCCCTCCATTCAGGGCATACCACAGCCCAGCAGTCACGGTAAAAAGAATTCCCGGCGCGAAGGGGTTAACAGATACTGTTATTAAGCTTTCGCACGTAGTCCCACACAAAATATCCATCCTGGTCCTTTTCCTCGAGCCATTGAATTTATTCTTCATTCCCTTGTCAATTTCTTTGATATCCCCTCTCCGGTCAACTTCCATGTTGAACAAAAATTTCTATCCAAACGTGCGGGTCACTTGACTCTGAAAACTTCGCACATGATCATTCACACAACACACGCATGGAAAATACATCGCCATTGACATGCTTGACAAGTGATTAATCAACAGTTCCAGTTGGCATCACATTTATCCATCACCAGTGATGGGATTACAACGAAAGCCATCAAACCAGAAAGAGGTCAAAGGTTGCACCAACCTCGTTCCTACAATGATGAACAGTGAGCGTGTGTGGGTGAGTAGCACAGGCTGATCTGCCATGTTTGTGAAGATCGAAATGCAGGCTGCCTGCACGTGCTGGCATGGATCATGTATGTCTAAATGTACATTATCAAAGTGGAAAATGAACGTTTTGTCATTTCCGGAAAATGGTAACTTTTCACGCCATTTCTGTAAATCCAGAAATTTCTGGACATCTTACATCCCTGATGCAGTGAGGATTCACTGCAAAGTTCAAAAGTGTCCTGCCCAAGTTGTGAAAGGCTCACACAAGTACATGTACTTTACACAGGCTGGACAGAGAAAAGAGTTTAGGTTAGTGCTTGCCTCTGTGAACTGGGTGCCCAGGTACCATTATTATGAGTCAACATGTATTACACGAAAATGAGTTACATGCATGTACCCAAGGTGAAAGCAAACCAACACATGCAAACAATGGGTAGACCAATGAGACATTGGTAACAAGGCATCCCTCTCTTGTTCAGAGAAGTCCAAACGGACACTCACCATGGGGAACATGATTTTCCTGGTGATCTCAGCATAGTCATCATTGCGATCTTTGACTTGGGACTGGCCAGCTGCAAAGTGGCCACAGACAAAGCAGAGGGAAGTGGAGTGGAACAAGAATCGAATGGCTACTGCGCCCTTGTTGCCTGCTGCACCCTTCATGCCTGTTTTGACTGTCTCTACGCCAACATCCCTGCCAAGGATTAAAAAGTGTCTTGGTCAGACTTTGCTGAGCTCATAATTTACATCATGATGCTTAACCACTTCCTGCCAGGTGGAATTTGCATATGCGGGACAAGTTCCTGGGCCATTTTCAAGATTTTCCTAAATTCTTCAAAAAGTCATAACTTCATTTATTGGACGTTCACATTTGCAAATGACTACCTGGTGGCTACTCTAATCTGACAGGCAATCTCCAATCTCATTTGACGGCCAAGTATTGCAGCCAGGCCAGCTGCCCAGCAAAGAGAGCCCAGATTGTACGGTGTTGCGTAATTTCTTTTGTTCCCAAAATTGGCCAAGTGCATTGATGAATGTCAGTGGTATCTTTTCATATGAGGCCAGATTAATGTGCAGCAGTACTGTATCGCTGGTCGCTGGAGTGCTGGAGTACTTTTGTCTCCGCTGATATCTGTGGGCACAGAATGCCACAAACAGATTAGCTCTGCTAATATCAGCTTAAAAATGATGGCAAAAATGCGTGCAAAGCCAGGGTACCTGGTACCGGGAACCTCAGAGGCAAGTGGTTAAAAGAGACTGTTTCATTACGCCCCAGTCACTGTACGGAGCGCATTAAAGGTAAAATAAACAATCCGGTTTTCTTTGCTTTGATTTTAAGAGATTTCAAGTAATGTAAGACTCTTGCATAATGTTTCTTTTCCTTCTGTTTCAAACTGGTAAGAGGTCATGCTAAATATATTTGCAAGATGTAGATTAGGAAAGAACACCAATACACCAACATCAATACCAATACAGTCTTCTTGAACAGCATCTTACCTGATATGAGACGCATGGTGAGGTCGTATGAAGATGTATAGGCATACGCCAACAAGTTGTTCACAAGTGAGGAGGATGTACTTGTGGTTCCTGGATAAGGTTTTCTGTAATTCCATACTCCACTGCTTTTGATTGCTTGTACTGACACACATAAACAATAAATATATTGCTGAGGGAATTCATCAAGAGAACTGTGGAAAACACGACATGTGAGTGCAACACAGCAACAGTGCAGATTGCTTTAGGGCCCATACATTGTACTTAACTGTATCATTGCATAGTTGTTGGGTCTTTCCATAAGAGGAACCCACATGTGAAAGAGTGTTCAACAGAAATAATTTTGGGTGTCTGTCACCAGGTTTTTAAAATTCTTTTTGAGAGTAGTTAATACATAGTAGCTGCTACAGTACAACTTTGAATTTAATAGCATCAGTTTTCCCTATGATAAAAGAATTTGTCTCACAGTGTTGAACCAACAAAAACTGAGGAAAAAGTCCAACTAGATTTAAAATGTTCTCATCTTTAAATCTGTCCTCACAATAGCTTTTATCCAAAGAATTATTTAAAATTCAAGTCAGTGTACATGTAGCTGGGTGACCTTATAGGAGAATTTGATGCTTACCTGGTATTGATAATGTTTCCTGCATTGAGGTCAACCATTTCTTCAAATCCAATGGCATACATGTCCACAGGTTTGCTGAAGTCATCTCCTTCTTCAGAACAACCTTAACCAAATAATATCAAAGGCAAAAGATCATACAGAAATCATAAAAAGATGCAGTACATTAAAAGCTAAAACATGTCAGTTACCTGGCTGAAGAGCATTAATCCACTGTTCAAGTATTCAATTTGCTTTAAGAAAAGGACCATTTTTGACTCATTTCAATTCTCAAAGGGCCTTGAAATTTGAACCACAGGTAATATCAATGTGGAAATCAAATAAAAGCTCCTGAAACATACACTCAATGGAAACAATGTAAAAGTTCAACTGCTTGACCCAACTTCACCTCAACATCTCATCTGGCAATAAACGAGTTTCGCTGAACAGATTACATGAGTATAATCATTCTTAAAACTCTGTCTACTATGAAATTTGACAATATGTCTAAAGGTAACCATTTCATTTCATTTTTTTTTTTTCAATTAATTTCGATTCTTGAAGCAACTTGACTTTCAGTTTCTGACCTTTCCATAAACTTGGTACTACTCTTGGCAGAATTGTTTAACGCAACAAGATTCCATGTATGTAAAATCACAGGCCTGGGTGTCACTGTTAGGGTTAAAGACCAACTCCCAACGGTTTGAAAAGTTTTGCAAATAAACTATTATTGCGTTTAGTGTGTAATAAATCATCCATTCATTCATTACCAAATCATGTCTGTATTGCGTCTGTATTTTTTGTAATTTTGCTGAAACTTAAGAACAGTGTCTTTGAGTGTTATGAAAAATTTCCATCGTCGGCAGCAATATTGAGAAATGAAATTTGTAAGAGGTAATACCGGAGAAAACACTGAAACTGGTATCCGTGGCATGACGGGTTATGCTACGAATGTACATGTACAGGGAATAGGGAGCTACATGTGTGTGCACCGTGTACTAGGGATTAATCTATGTGCTGGGTCTACTGTGCCGCATTATTGCTTTGCTGTTGAGAGTTTGTACTCCTTTCTCCATGATTTACAACATTGCCGAAACCGTGCGTCATTGGTTGATGTACATGTACTAGAATTCTGCAAAAGAACCGGGATTCAAATTCTTTAAGTTTTCAATGAATGAGAGCATTCTTCAAGTTTGGGCTGTCGTCCACGGCTACGCTTGCTATGCATGCCTATATACCACGCACTGTGGTATTTGCATGGCAATACATCACAGAAATCAATATTCAATAGATGTTAACGAGTCATGCTGACATGTCCATTTTTACAACACCGGACTGGACTCGCAAGAAAAATGGGTACAAAAACTGTGTTTTATTAACACCAAAATGTGTACTGCAAAAGGAGATATTGGGATGCGCCATTTTTATTAGACTTGGCTCTTCTGACTAGGATTCAATAAGAGAAAAATTTAGCATTGTTGAGGTTGGTCTTTTAGCAATAAACAAATTGCACTTTCACATCAAACTGAAGTGAATTAATTGAAGCTGGACTATGCAGCACCAAGTCTGGAGGAATTTTGGAATAATAAGGGTATACATGTACATGTACTGTATAATACCACACCTTGTCTTGTGTACTGTATGACCTTAGGGTTATCCAGTAACCAATCTGTCATTGATTGGTCTTTGTAAGCAATACTCCTGAAGTGTCGTCCACCATTCACATTCCATGTTCCTACTCCTATCCTGAGTGGCATAGCATCAGTAATGTCCTCTTCTCGCTCACAGATGGTGCGGAGAATGCTGGGTGAAGCTTCAGAGGGAAACATAAAGGCAAGTCATAAATTGCTAAGAAATAGTTCAATGTCCCGGTAAATGTATGCCAACTTGTAGCTTAGTTTATCCAAAAATCCAACAGTGTAAGATCCAAACATCAGTAGTGTGTGTGCTTTAACGTTTGGCATTTTTGGCAAGTGAAGTTCATCAAGAGAGTTAAGAGACTGCAGAATGATTGAGATGTCTGCCATTCCCCCCCCATTGTCTACTTGTGTTTCTTTCTGCAGACAGCTGGAAGAACTTCAGCAAAGCATTTGCCAAGTCTACAGCATGCCCTTCAGTTCTCAGTATTGGCAATCTTCTGAGTGCATCTGCTCTCAGTATTACCGTAGCTGCAATTCAAGTTAACCTGGGAATACTAATATCTTCCTCTCCTTTGTTCCTTTCCCAGGAAATTAGTTTTCATTTCCAAAGTGCAGAAAATTTGTCAAATAAGAGGAACACTTTTCACATTATTTTCCACCAGTGTGAAAATATTTTTCAAGTGAAATCACATTTCGCATTGGAATTTCTGTCATTTAACCCTGTTGTTAAAACAAATTTTCAAACCAGCAAGTAAAGAATGAGCAAAAGGATGAGAGAGAGAGCAAGGGTAACGGACAGGCAACGATGTCTCATGACATCACATCTATTTTCATCTAGAATACATTCTTGTCCGTGTGCATGTCATTGTTTAAATTCAATCACAGCTGTACTTCTGGGCTATTCTTTGGAATTTGAAACTTTTATGAAAAAATGAGGTTGGTCGTATTAACTGTTTGTAATTTTTATTGAAAAAAAGTGATGAATGTAGTAAATGATACCATGTTTTTTTCAATTAACAGATAGGCATCCCTAAGTCCCATAAATTAACCAGACTTGATTTTTAAAGTAAAAGTATTATTTTACCCCCAAATGTAATATCATTGCTTTTTAGCGTGCACTTTTATTATAATCATCTACCCGTTGTGATGAGTATGTTCAACTTACAATAAATGAAACCAAATGAAACATTTCATATGTCAGAATTAGTCTGTAAATAACCCCCCCCCAAAAAAAAACAACTTTGGATGTCACACATGTAATTAAAACGTAATAAGTCTGTAGTACTGATCAAGCACTGATTTAGTGTTCAACAAACTCTGTCTCAAAACCTACATGTAGTTTTGTCAAACCTTACTGTAGACAGAATATTATGCCCATTAACTTCACACACTATCAATTAATGGCCTTAACTGTTGGTTACATGTGTGACTTTTTGGTATAGAATATAATGTACAAATATACATGTGTGATACCTACTACGAGGCATGTGTGCAAATGCATATATACGTGTACACACTACATGTAGTGTACAAATTACCGGTAAGTCAATCATGTGAACAAAGCATGCTTACAGATTATTCATATTATCGGAATAACAGAGGAACACCAGTAAATGGAACAGCACATACATGTGCAAGCACATGTACATGTGTAGTGATTGGGTACACATGTAGAGGGTACCGGAACCTTGGATTGCAAACTGTACTCTTTCAGTCTCAAAGCTACATATAATTTTGGCAGTCATTTCAATGCCCACTGATGAGTGTACACACTTGTGCACCCTTTATTTTTCCATACCGCCACATAGTTTTTGCAGCAATTTCAACTGTACTGTGCATTTCTGTTTCACATGTTCAAATACATGTGTAAATTGCTGGGAATTCACAAGTGGAAACTGATGCAAAAATTGTGTGAAAAGACAAATGCATTTTGAAAAACATCCATCTGCATAAACAGTATAAAGAAAAAACTTTGCACAATACTTTCTACAAAGTAAGAAATTTGACAAGGTAAGAGCCTCTACCGGTAGATCTCCAACTTTTTCATGTGCCAGTTTACAGACTCAGAGTGTTCACACAGTCTAAAGAGTTACAGACAAATACGTGTACATGTAAGGACAGTAATTCCAATATCTGCAGAAAGTCAGGAGAGTCACACATATAAGTGGAAGCTTACCATGAAGATGACTCTTGGGTAGAAGGGAGCCAGCTTTATCTGCCAATTCGCCTACCAGTGAGTTGCCTAGCAACAGAATGTCAATGGCTTCCTGTTTGCTGCCATCGAAAAAATTATTCTGGATGGTCCGAGTAACTGAGCGAGCACCATCTCTCAATTTGCCAGCCTGTACCAAAAAGAGAAACATTAGACATCCTGTGAATATTACATCTGCAAGAAAACTACCGGTACTTTAAAAGCATGAACTTAGTTTTTAAAATGTCAACAATTTAAGTAAGGCTTACACACATACTCAGTTTTTTTACCCATGTGCTCTGTGGGTAGAACTTCACTGACTGGTCTATTTGATGTCACTTTTTGAAAAATAAAGAATGATGAAACTTACATATTATTATCCTGCAGCTTTTGGAACACAATTTAAAATCGTGGCAAGTTGTAGCACTTGGCCCTCAGACTATGTATGCACACTGTATCACAGACTCACTACATTTACATACAACTGTAAATGTACTGTATGTACATTAATCCATGCCTTCATACAGGCTCATAGGATACATGTACCGTATTATACTGGCTATAATGGACCAATCTATAAAGTATAATGTATAAAGTAATAAAACAATCTAATCTCCCTGTGTCTGTTTGGAAATTCATTGACAAAAGCTGCATTCCCATTAGCACTGCAGTAACTTCCGTGCAATAATGGGGTTGGTGGCACATAATGCCACAGGCTTCAGTGTAAAACGGGCACATTACTATGGAATGTGTTTTTTTCTGATGGTGTCAGGTCTGTTGAGCCAAAATTGAAAGTGTAATGTGGAGATCAAATCTTATTTTTGATTCAGCTTGGTAAATCCTCCCCCCTTGGAGTGGGTTGGGTCTCCAAGCGATACTTACCTCTGTCCTGCCTACATATGTAAATTTCCCAAGTGCCTATTACAATTCGCTCCAAAGACTTGATGATGCATATAGTCCCTTGACCCTCCAAAATGCACTGCAGTCCCACTGCCATATTCGTCCTTTTCAGAGCGGTGAAAACCATCGGAGCCAAAGTGGGGAAGGATGGACGGAGTGGCTGGGCAGGGGTACCGGTTAAGTATCACTAAGACACCCGACCCACTCCACGTGGGGAAGGAGTCTCCTACGTTCATCCTGCCCAGCCTACATATGCAGAGTGGCAACGAACCCTGGAGTTGCGTCGGCGACAGGTGTTTAGTTACTAACAGGAACATAAGGTGGGTGTCACAAGAACGAGCACTCACCAGGAGAAACTCCTAAAATGAAGTATCTACCGCCAGGACTGGAACAGCACTGGACATTGTCCGGACTGCCAAGTGCAGGGTCACACTGCCATGGGCTGTTTCGCTCTGCCGAATATCTTTCAGGTAGCACTCGGTGAAGGTGGAGGGAGATTTTCTCAGGTAGACGGACTCCTCTGAAGTACGACCAGGACACAGAGGTAGCCTGAACATTGTAGGCTTTGACATGAGATCGGGTCATCTTATGTTGTGCTGGCCAGTCTCAGTTAACGAAGATAATGGCCAAGACCGTCTATTGGCCAACAGTGTCCTTTGACGCTGGGTGAAAGGGTTTCATCATGGTGACGAAGAGCTGGGAATTAGATTCTCAGTGATGCTTCGCCCTGGCAAGATACCACTTGAGAGTCTGGACAGGACACCATCTCTTGTCAGACAACTGATGTACGCCACTGTCATTGATGTGTTGCTCTGGACTCGAGCGAACCAACCTACTAAGTACTATTGGAAGTGACAAAGAGCGTTGAATATGCTTGGAGTTCTAACACGTTGATATGTTTGCCTCGAGAGGCAACGTGCTAGACCCCAGAGGCATGGAGTGGAGGAAGAGAGGCTCCTCATCAGCATCTGAATAGTGACGCGTCCGTCGTCACGGTCACATTCGGACTTGAGACAAAAGGCCAGTCAACACGCAAAAAGAGGCAAAAGTATTTGATAAGAAATAAATAATGAGCCTTGCTACATCATACTACATGTATGTACTGTATGTTCAAAGTGGCCATTTGTATCCTTGATGTTAAGACGACTACAGCCATATCATTACATGCATGGGCATTTAAGGTCATTCTGCATGCATTGCAAAAATGGAAAACTGCAGGTGAGGAGCGTCAAAAGAAGGTAGATCACTCCATGATTAAAGAATGCAGATATCCTATTTTATTCAGCATCCAAGGATTATAATATTCCTATTCATTCGCTAGAGTAAAGGGCATGAGCAGACACACTTAGTACACCTCTTCATTTCAATTACATGGGGAGCAGGCAGAAAAGCAACCATAGCAAGTCAGTGTTGAGCCCTGACACTTGGCACATTTTTGCCAGACCTTGTAACATTCACAGTATAAACACTTTGGACACTCCCACTGTAAAGGAACTCATGTCTGGATAGTATGTCGGCGTGGTCAGGCCGAACAGAAAATATACGGAGAGCTCAGAATTATTAGATGAAAGGAGCATGTACAATTCATGACAATGTGAAGTTTGATGAACTCAGACGCCCGAGGCGTGGATACTGAATTGAATGGCGTGATCACCAATCAGAGATAACGGCAGAGGGGAGCCTCTCCGGAGATCGTGGTTGACTGTTACCATGCCTGAGTGCCCCCAATGAGAAAGTTTCAGACATCGGAGGGCTCGATGGGGCACTGGGTCTGCAGGTAGGGCAGTGATGTCTATCGCAGGCATTAATAAACAAAACAAAATCCAGTGGGGAGAATAAAACACACACAGTAGGCAGATCATATCGCATTTTATTCACCAGGATAGCTCCAGAGAATGGTAGAGAGATGCCCGTATAGCAGATTTCTCTATTTCCTGTCTAGCTGGCCCCCGGCACAGGAGTCTTGGGGGCCAGCCGGCAGTCTGATGCGTAGTGTAGCAGTAGGCCTATGAGCTATTGTTCGAGCTGCAGTCAGGGTTAAGCATACGTGACGCACACTTGCATTCACTATACATGTATTGGGGCCATACAAGCAAACGATGTAAGGCGGCCCAGTATAATATACAGTACATGTAACACCTGCACGCCTGTACATGTATGCCCCAAAGGGTGGGCAGATCAAAGCAGAGGAATAGGCCTGAATAAGAAACGTCTCCACACTGTAAAAAAAAGTTGGTCAAACAGTGTTGGGCATTCATTGTTTGCCCAACCTTTGTTTGTTGTTTACCACATTGTTAGTTAATTTCCATCACTGTTGCTCAAAGGTTGACTAACGATTGGGAAAAATTTGGACAAGGTTGGGAAGTTGATATTTACACCAACACTAGGTAAAATAGCGACCACAAGTTGATCAACCTTTTCACAGTGCAGTTGTACCTAATACGGAACAGGAGACGCCCCAGGTGTAGCACATGTATGCTCACAGTGGGAGCTAGATTTGAATCGAAAGTAGAACCCGGGTAATTTGAAGAATTATTATTGAATGAATTTATGAAGTGCAAATTCAATTCATAAAATAAAATGCATGGGCGTTCATGTATTGAATGGAGAGATGGAGCCGGAAGTGAGATGGAGCCGGAAGTGAAGCCAGAAATGCAACTGGAATTCGGAAGCAGAGTCGGCTACAAATCCGGGTGAGGACCAGATGGAGATCCTCACGCGGGGGATTCAGGTCAGGAACAGTCGCCAAGGGAGTGGAAGTTGACTCGAAGCAGCTTACTATAGTGGACAGCAGCTCCGCGGGAGTGGACCGCCGTCATCAAATCTTGCTTAGGTGTAGAGCGAGATTGTTGAGTATGAACCCCACAAACGACAATTTGTGTGTACGCATTTTATGTGCGTGTGATCTGGCCATAGAACCCGAAGGAAGAATCTAAAAACCTGGGACATCAGCAGCATGTCTGGAATGCAGGTCATGACAGGTGGAAGTGGGCTGAGCCACCAGGGAGCTGTGATGGAAGCACCCTGGTAGGATAGCTCTAGCCAGTAGCCAGAAACCGCGACGATGAATGACATTCAAGAACCATGGTGATGTAGCAAGCCAATGGGTTCTGTAGCCTAAAATGCGGTTGGTAAAGAGGCCACATAGTTCAGCGGTGCCTCTGAATGGGCCGCCCCCGGGGACAATGGGGCATCGGCCCGAGGCATTGTAACGTTGAAGTCACATCTGAGTTAACCGCTCTAGAGTTTGTCTGATGGCTGTAGTTCATGCCGTGTGGTGGTCGTTGTAGCTGGTCTGGGAGGCGTGGGGGCTGTCCCGGTGTGTAGCATGGTGAACCATACTGACGAATAGACGTCTTTACGGTAGGCGCTGTTAAAGTTTTTCATATGTTGGCAATTAGTTTCCATATATGCAGATGCAAATGTCAACTCAGATTCCTGTATTTACAGGATAAGTTCAGAATTTCTTTTCTTGCAATGTATAACACAGTGACCATATATGTAAGTTCAGAATGACAGAATGTGGCTATCAAAGTAACCAGCAGCATGACATTTTTGCTCAGAATGACGAGAAGAATTTTCTGTGATGGGATTCTGGCCTTACCCTTGTTCTACCTTCCAAAGCTCCTGTGCCTGCATAGATGCGACTCACATGATCTCCATTCAGACCCCAGATGTTCCTATAAACCTCCTCAAAACGTGACAGCATCTGAGGTTTATTGACCAGGCCAAAGGCTTCCAACTGTCTTGGAATCATCTGCCGGAAAACCAGACCGAAAGACACTTACTGCAGATGCTTCCCTGCTCTGCAGGACCAGGGTTTTGGGACCCCTCACAGCCACATGAAAGCCAGCTAGGAGGTACATTTTTCTCCCCCCCCCCGAGTTTTCTTATGACCATCCTGTTTGAAACTCAGCATGAGTATACAGACATTAATGTGACATTTTACTTCAATCTCCCAAAGGGCTTTGTTGTTAAGGTCAACTTTTACAAAGCAGGTTTATGGGGAAATTACAGGTCTTACCAACATGTCTTAAAAATGACCATTTCAGGGGAAAATGTGTATCTGATTTCATATAATTGGTGTCTTCAAGACTGCAAGACATCTGCACGAAAAGTACTGAAATTTCAGAAAGATAAAAATGTATTACAATATTACAAAAAAATGTACATGTACAGTATAGTCATATTCATGTGCCTGACTCTCAGGGTTAATTAAGTATCACTACGAATATCTACAAATTTGGGGAAGAAATCTCACCAGTAGTCCAAAAAAAGCTTGGACAGCATTGGTCCTATCCAAACAGTCTAGACAGTTTGTTCTTATGGTACCAGTCTGCACACTAAGGAAGAAACAGAAAAGAAAATGGACATACTCCTTATCACTGATTTTAAAGAATGCAAAGTTTGAATTCACAGCAGGAAAAAGGAACAGTGTCTCATATTCCATCTTGCAATTATGCAGCCCAAACAGGATTACTGTCTATGGGTAGGGCCTTTAAACATTTAAACAAAAAAATACATCCACTAGGGATTTTCCTAAATGGAACCAATTGTTGGAGGTTTCACAAAGTTTAACTGATGCAATCTGGGTTAATTTTTATTTTCAAACGATGCTGTGAAGGTGTGAAAGTGTCGAAGACTCCAGCACCCAGTCAAATCAAAGGAACTCTTGATAACTCAAAGTCTGCAAACTCAAAACTCTGTGAAAGAATCGCTGATTCTTTGTGGTAACAATGTGGTGACCACACTAGAAGGAGGACGCTTTGTGCATGCCACAGTTATAGCTTGGTATCGCCGCCTGCAAAACTTCAGCAAAGGTTTGCCGCTCACATGGTAACTGTCCAATCACAACCCTTTAAGGCACCAAGTGAGATACATCCCCGTTGCAGTGCTGTAAATGTTGCTTTTGTGCAGCCCAATCTGACCCAAATAAAAAAGATACGTAAGACAAAACTGCTGCAAACTGCTTGTCGACTTCAATGACCTAAAATACAAATCAAAAAAGAGCCTTCAAGACAGATTCTGCTAGGATCGAAATGTCAGGCCCTCCATATTTTGTAATGTGGATAAAAAGGTTAGAAGTTACTTCGTGTTTTTTTTCTGGTGTATTCTGCTGGTACATGCATTATATCAACTTCCATTAATTCCCACTTTATTCATTTTTAAGGAAAGGCAAAAGTGTAAACAGCCCTATTTACATGTAGTTTTTGAGCGAGTAGAAAAAAAAAGTTCTTCAGATGTAAGATCAAGGATTGGGTACCGACAGTATCTTGAGAAACTGAGAAACTTTTCCTCACTGATTATCTTTGATGTTTCCACTGTCTAGGTAAAGATGTTTCCAGGATAATGTTCAAGCCACTCCAGTTATCTTTAAGTGATATATCAAATTTCAGAGTCGCCATCATGGATCATGCTACCGATACTGTATTGCCATTTTCCCACAAACTTTGGCAGTCACCTCACAGTGTTTACTCAGAGTCCATCCTCGTGAAATTTGTCCTAAATGCTGCGCTTGTCTAAGAGCTTTGTTTGGAGTACATTTCAGAAAATAGACAGCGATGAGGTAAAATGCCAAATTTGCAGCACAGTCCTTACCTGTAAAGAAAGTTGCTGCATAAAATGAACCAACGGTAAAAAAATTCCTAAAGCTAGCCAGTCTAGGTTTAATTTGTCTAAACATCAAACAAAAACATTCAGCTGTTCTCTAGCGCCCAATACACCAAAAAATATGTGGGAAAATATGACTATTTTCAATTAGTACAGCAAATCCCAATGACAAAAAATTCTAGAATAAATCCACCTTAGCTCTGCAGAACAAGAAATCTCCCAGGAATGATTTACAACTCTTTTGTTCTGTTGGACACAAAGTATATTTTGAAGTATTTGGGTCACATATCTTTGAAGATGTCACTATTTCTAGAAAGACTTGCTGGGCAGATATATTGATCATAAATCCTTGGCCAATTAATGAGTTGATTCTTTGCAAGCAAAGCAGCCATTGGTAGGCTTGGTACACTTGTGCAGTCCCAGATTTATGCCACTGTTGCCAAGAAACAGTATTACCATGGAAATCAGGGGCCTTGGGGAATGCTGCCTGGATGCTAGCCAGGCTTTTTTTTTAGCAATGAGCAATTACCACTTTGTTGTACAGCCCTGGATAAATTAAAAAATGTTCCTTCACTTCCTTTTCTTGACAATAATTTACAGCTACATGTATTGGCAAAAACCATACAACGTAGACGTTTTCAGGCCTCCAAATTCATATACAACCTCTTCCACAAAACATTTCATCTTTTTTGAAGAAAGAAAATGGTCTGCTTGTCAGAGTCATACTTGTTCACTGCATTTTACATCTGATTTATTGTGCATTCTCTTGCAGTGGAACGCCTATGGTAAATTGAACAGTCCTGTTAAATGCCAATTCGGCTTGACCAATAAAGTTTTAGAAAATTTTTCCCGCCGAACGATTTTTCAGCCCGCGTAAAAATCTCTGATTGCCATGCATATACATGTAGGTTGCTGAGGAAGCAATCGAGCGGGGCATCCGTAGTTGCCACAGGCTTAAATAACTTCCACCTGGCTGTGGTTATTGTTAAACAAAATTTGCTTTTTGTTTGTATTTACATCCGGCGTTTTTCTTCCTGATTCACTTCGTTTATATTCATGAGTTTGGGTACAGTAGATTTTGATCTTGGAAAGAGTGTCTGTATGTGAGCACGATTTTGATCTTCAAGGCGGTAACATCGGGTGTGTGAGCTGAGAAATTTGCAAGCGACCAGTATGAACTTTTTTGAGGTCTCTGAAGCAGCAGATGACAATTGGCCGGAGAAAATCAGTCCTGTACGATCGAATCGTCAAATCTAGCTATAACAGAGCTCGTACGATCCTTCAGAATCCAGTCCCAGCATTTTTGCAACACTCAGCCAATACATTGTTGATAATGTTACCTAAAATAACCTTAAGTTGAATATTTTGACTTCTAAGAGATTGTTGTCGAAATGTAGTTTGCTCGAATTAAAAATACTGTTTTAATCATTGGATACAGACTGAGAATACAAGAGCATGATTTGCATATTAGTATGAGATTTCTAGATGTATGACAATTGCGAGCACAATTGAAATATGTTGTTTCAAACGCAATACAGTTTAACTGAATAAGAAACATTGTGACTTACGCAATTGTGCAATGGAAACTTTTGAGTGATTCCCAGCATTAATTAATAAACATGAAACTTGCACATAACAATATTAAATTTATTTGTATGGATGGCCGTAACCTTTGGGATTTCAGAATTCCCTTTACATTCATTTTGCGTGTACGTACAATAGTTCCAGGTAGCTTGACACCTGAAGTCAAGCTGTCCTTGAGAGGAGACTATGCCGGACTCTGTAACCGGGTTAGAATGCCACTGAACTGGCCGAACGCACCATTACGGAGTGGGAATTCACATCTTCACTTATTGAGGGAGTAATCACATTTATCAGGGACCTATTGGTTTGATCAACATAATGAAGTTATCAATTTTCCATAATAAAGAAGTCCTCTAGTAGAAGAGTAAAGGACATGTACATGTAGTAAGTCATAGGGCAATTATTTCAAATTTATCCACTTGCTGCCGGTGGCAGTTATCAATGTTGATGATGCTGGGCAGGGATAATTATCATTTTTTTCTGTTTTCAAAATTCTTTAAAAATTCCTATCTTCATTTACTGGACACTCACACCCACGTAAAGGACTGTCTGGTAGCCACTCTAGCCCGACAGTCAAAAATCTATTGATGCCTGAGTATTTCAGCCAGGCCTGCAGCCTTGTAAAAAGAGCCCAGATTGTGCGGTGTTACTGCTATCTAATTTTCTTATGTTCACAAGCCTGCCACAGTGCGCTGCTGACCTCTTTTCAATATGGGTCAGATTAGCATCCAGCAGTGCTGTGGGGCTCATCGCTGTGGTGGTGGAGCACTTTTGTCCCCGGTGGTAATCCGCTCCCTCAAAATGCCCCAAACTGCAGGATACATGTACTGTTTCAAAACAAGGCTGGATTATCTCCACTACTGAGAGTGAAAAATGTCAGTAATGCCAAGCCGCCTGGTCTTTTGTTCCGGGTACGTTCTTTTGTTACAAGGCCAATTCACGTTGTCCAATTTCGGAGGCCCCGGCCACGCATATTTAAGCATACGTGTCCGGATCCGGAATCCCAGGCAGGAAGTGGTTAAGGGCCCATTGTGCCGATTTTTCTTCTTACTTCAACTTCATTGTAAATAGTGTACATGTACATAATCTGGAATTGTAAATACACAGGCCCTAAGTTTACAAACTGGTTTCAAATCATTTTTCATGTGTATGAAGCATGTTTTACCCGGAGTCATCACTAACATAATGACCAATGAAATCCTTTATATTTTGTTATAATTTCTTCCAATCAAACCTCTGTAATTTGGTTATTTTGCAAATTTTTGAAAGAAAATTCACCTTATTCCAAAATATAGACCATGTTGGGGACCCCCATATATCTGACCTTATTTGACGTTAATTTTTGACCTTCAAGGTCAAGTGCCATTTCAGCAACCAGGCGTTTCTGAAACTTTAGACTACAGTGATACTTTCTAGCATGGTTGCCAGCTTGGAACAAAAATGCCATCTTAGTTCATTTTTCAGGCAGATGGCAAACCGACTACAAACTGTTTTGAGAAGTACTGTGACACTTCTTAACAGGCCAAATAAATATATTCCTCATAATAACACAGTGACAAATTGCATCCATCTCCCTTCCATCTCTGTTAAGTTTTTTTAAAGTCCTATGTCGTGAATAGTAGGGCACTGGCGCACACTTGGACAACCACAAATATGCATTGTTGTTGAGCTACATGTACATACCTGCATTAAAAACTCACTTGTTAGGAGCTGACATGCGGTGGTCTTTGTTGCGTGTATTGGCTGGTTAAACAGCAAATTGAAATGTTGCTAATCATTTAGCAAATTAAACGTTAATTCTGACCCTTATTAAAGTGAAATACATGTATGGTACAAGCATTTCATCAGAACACTGTGACTCCTGTTGGAACCCTAAAGATACATGTACATGTAAGAGACAAGTACTTTGATTATAACTTTGAGAAGCTGCTGTCTTTCTGTTTTTCAAATGGAGGTGGTGCTCCTACAAAATGTAGGTAACACTTGAAAAGTGTACTTTGAACAATCAATTTGTTCAAGTTCAAACTTTTGGACTCACTTTCTAATACTATCCCCTTTCTCCAAGTGGAAGAAGTCAAATACATTCAAGTACTTCTGAACTTTGGACTGAAGGATTCGAAGATAGTCTCGTTGGCGGGACATTTGGTGATAATCAAAGAGAATGTGGGGAATATCCTGAGCATGCGGAGAGTTCTTGTGGTGGTTCTGTGAAAAAAGGAAACACCACAGGTGTGAAAATGTGTGACAACCCTTTCTGTAAGTTTAAACAAACTTGTGCAGTTTGGTACTTCAATGTCATTTGATACTGCTTCAATGAATAGCTAAAAACCTGGCAAAAAATGACACATGCAAACTAACATGCAAACTTTATCAATCAAGCCTGACATACATGTACAAGTATGATCTTAAATTACATTCTATTTCTCCACAAATACATGTACATGTAAATGTGTGCAAAAACACATTTATCACCCATTTGTAGTTGGAGTCTATCAACTGCATACTGCAATACTTTCTTTACTTCAAATTAAAACACCGCTCTACTGTCAAATCTCAGAAGTAATACCAGTCAATCATGATCTACACCAATACACACGAACATTTTCTTCTGGCACAGGTACACTGTAGTTATGAATACATGTACATATGATTTTCACATTTTTCAACTGTCTGTATTTGTCTCTGTCTTTGGTTTCCACCTGACCAATTGCAGATGTGTCAATTTGTCTACTATAGAAGTACAATGTCTACTAAACATTCTACTAACATGCACAACATTCTGCAATACTAAGCTAAAGGTACACATGAGCGCTCATGGAACATGATACATGTATGCATGTAATGTAGTGCACCTGTATCCTGTAAGTCACAGGACTAGCTGAGACAAGCACAGAAAAGCCATGTAATGAGTAGGGCTTGGGATTGGGGTGTAATTTGAGTTTTACAAAGCGGGCTCACTTTAAGGCATGGCATCAGTGCTATAGAAGTACATGTACATGAGTATGCCCTCCTGTATGTGCATCCTCTTCATGTATCCCATACCTGACACATTAAATCAGTGCTTAAAACCCCTGGATTGGTTTTGATTTCACAAACGATGTAACATCAGTTACTTTCATTTTACACAACGTTTTACCAGACGTCATAATATTAAAGTGCTAAGGAAAAGGCTTCAAATATTTCAACATTTAGGCTTTTAGAGGTAGATTGGCCACCCAAAAACTAGTATACACGTACATGTACAATGGATGTATCTTCTGAAAATCAACACGAGAGAAATAAGAGGCAATGTTTTTCAACGAAAATTTCGGAAACAACGTCACATTCTGTGTTCATGTTGGGTTGATGATGTCATTTGGCATAAAAGCACAACAGGCATACATGAAGATACATGTAAACTGGCATTGTTGTGGCCCAAATGCATTAAAACAAGTTTTAAAAATGCAAAATACCACTACCATACATTAATATTTAAGATGTATAAGCCTAAAATCTTACTCTTAAATGTACATGTAGCTGGTCAAAATAATTGCGAGATTTATTCTGAAATGAAGGAGTACGAGACATTGGAGGCGAAGACGAACACATTTTTCGTGGCATACATGTGAGAGTGCACTCTCGTTCACACGTACAGTGGCACCAGACTATTCATAGAATAATGCGGGCCCCCTTCATTGCAGTACCCAGGCTGGAATTATGGGCTGAATCGCGGGCTACCTTGTAATGTGTGCACACACTTGAAACTTCTAGAAAAGACAGCAACTCACGTGCAGGCTTGTTTATTGCCAAGTCTACAATTTTCAAAGTGGGTGGAAAGGCATGCAGTACGATAGCACCATGTGAAGGAATATATCTCTTATGAGTACCAGTATGTGTGGTTCTGAATTCCAAAACATTAAGTATACTCCCAGTTTGTTTCAGAACCACACATACTGGTACTCATAAGAGATAGATTCCTTCGCATGGTGCTACCGCAAGCCTTTCGAACTATTGCTCTCTTTCACCATGAATAGCCTGAAATTTCATCCAATTTTCAAAGTGCCGAAGAAAAAGAGATGTAGGATTTTTCTAATGAAAGTGAGTGGATTCAATTCCTATGAAAGTATCCATTAACTCGTCGATGCACGGAACCTGGCAGTGTTGCAGGGCTGCTATGGTGGTCCCAAACATGGCCCTTGTCCAGCAGCACAGCACATTATCATCGGCAGATGTGTGTTCAAGATGCAAAATCTACCCTTAATGTGCTGTCTGTGAACGATCAATTCAATGCGGTATTGTACGGAAACATTGAGACAAAGTCTCAGAGTACAAGATTTCTGTCTGAAACTACCGCTACAAAACTGCACAAGACCAGGGTACATGTATGTTTTATTCTATGACAAAAACACAACAAATCATGCACTTAAACTTGACATATGGAACAATCAACTTAGTGGACAAGAACCGTGCAAGAACATTGCATTTTGAGCATGCCTCTACTATGACACACACTGTTTACGACCATATCTCCCATATGACGTTTTGGGGTCACTAGCATACCGTTGTATCATTTATAGATAATGTTTCTAATATTGGCCAAAAAAGGGATTCAGAAGCCGATGTTTAGACCTTTTTTTTAAGACCACAAGTGGGGTTTGTTATAATTGGGGAAAGGTTTTGTTTTCCTTACCTCTTTAAAATATTACATGGGGAAAAAACCGACATAAAAAGATTACACCAAGTGCTGTCAGCCCAGAGAAAAAATCTGCCTCCTTGTTGGACAACAATAAACACTTTTATTTTGGCTTAACGCACCGTGATGAACAGTGGTCATCATAGACAACAATTCCTATTATGGCAGAAGCCTTACCTGGAATGCCTTGCTAAGTAGGTCCTCCCCTTCTTTGCTCCCAAGAAGATTGACAATGACTTGATCGCCATACTGAGTCTTGATCATGGATATGTGCCTAATAAAAAAAATGCCAACAATCCTTTGTCTACTGTACATTATTCACTAATGTATGGAATTTTAAACAGGGAAAAATCTGACTAATTATTGTTTCAAAAGCTACATGTAAGTCTAATTGCTTTTAACTTGCTTAGCTTTGACCACAGTGTGATATACATGTAAAAAGCAAGTCTATAGAAACTGGAAGTCATTTTCAATTTCCGACTATTTTTAGGATGACCTACATGTACATGTATGAAAAGAGGACTTCTGATTAAAGTCTATGAAACGTTTTGCAATCCACTCAGCCCCAGAAATTGACAAAAAAACCCTAAATACACTCTTGTGCAATCAGCATACGTGCCAAGCTATGGATGAACTGAGCAAAATTTACAATGAGAATGAGTGTGAATCCTAAATGTAATTTGTACTTGTACATGTGTAATATTACTGTAACTTTCGAAATAGAAGCTGCGCGGTATATACCGGAAGTTGCAGGATGCAAAACTTGGCATATTTAAAGTCCAAGTATAAGCCGCACTGGCGTATAAGCTGTACTGCTGCACTGCTGATCCAAAAACTAATGCCATCATCCTGCATGCTGGAGAGCCAGTGCAGTACATTGATAATTCCACTACATGTGCAATCCTAATAAATATACGTGTAAGCAATGTGCAAACAATTTCGAAAATTTTTGCGGGTTGGATGACTGTCCTGTAGGCTGTGCAGCAGCTCGCCCTTCTTTACAAGTGGTCAGCAAAAGTTATGTGGACGGAGATGTAAATTATAATCTTGGCAACTCGGAGTCAGTTACTGGTAAGTCAACATACCATTTTATCTCATAGGCCAACTTATTCTCACCAAAAGAATAGGCTTTTATCTGCAAAAGTACCTCTGTAACTCTAAATGTCCGCAACACTACATTCGGTTATCTCAAAGATTTTGTAAAACTGATCAAAAAACACCGCCAAATCGCTTCAAATGTAGAAGGTAAAGGACTGCTATGAGACCTTGGTTCAAGTCATAAAGCACATGTATTGGAACTACATGTGTGGCATGCCTGCTGCACTCCATGGCAAGTCCAATCGCAAGTCTTGGCCCAAGACGTCAGTGATCAATAGTTGTTTTATTTCTGTTGAAGAGCGCCCTCGCACAACTAGTTTTTTACTAACATCTTGGGAATCTCGCAGGAATGGGGGTGCGGCAGTTGTATGCAAATGACCGATCGTTTCCAATATTTATAGCCTTGGTATTATAATTATGTACATGTATTTCGAAGTTCAAACAACATGGCGGCTTCACGCGAGCAAGTACCCTATCGATAGTGTCTGGTTTGTGGGAAGGGATAAGTGACATGCGAGATATATTTTTCACTCCCTACTAGACATGAAATTGCCACTATTCTAAAAGATATCGTTGGGGACTACAGTTGTGCTGCATCGCATCATGTTTGCAATAATCTGTGGCAGAAAAAAATTGGGAAAACAAAATCGCTGCCTGACACCACACAAGAAATACATTCCCCTTTTTTTGCAACTCACATTGAGCATGCTGGGCCTGATGAGGCCAAATTACTCACACAAGCGACACCTAAACCTGCACGTGCAGCAAGAAAAACGACAACCAACTTGCAGTCCGGGTACTCCGTCCTCGAAGGTGAAGGTCTACACGGTCTCCAAGGATGCTTTAGTTAGCTGGGGAGGGCATACTGATTGTACATGATTATGGGTCACCAAGAACAGCATCCTCTGTCATGACCTAGGCCTACTCCTTGCTAACTCCATACAAACGTCTGTGTTGTGTCTATGTTGACGGGACTGTAGACAGCCATGATGCATGTGACCTTAAAATGGTGTATCAGGTCATCGAAATTTATTATGCACGCAATTTAGCGAGTGCTAATTGGTTCCCTTGGAAAGCCAAGGGAAAAATAAAGAACAAGTTAAAACACTGCTGCAAGATTCCCAAGACATTAGTGCGAGCTGGCGCACAGTCTAATTATGAGTCGTTAGGGGGCACACTATGCACGGTGTCCGCTATCAAGCACTAACGTCTTGAAACCAAGACTATCCAATCGCTGACTCCTTCTGATAACTGCGTGACCACAGGAAGTGATGTCATCAGGAAACTCAAGTGAAAACGAACTCAAAATTCTGTGGCATGTCACGCTGAACATGATCAGTGAAAAGACGAAAGATTTGCTACACGAAGGGATACCATTTAAGTCGTTGATTTTTATTTATCAGTAAAAAGAAACCTTTGGGTAACAACAATTTATAAACCCCAGTAAAACAATTGTGTGCAAGAAAGACACCATGAAAATGAATAAAAAGCGGGAAAATAATCACTAAAATATTACCACAACAGAGCAAGTACAGTTCCATGTGTCTGTATTGCGACTCCACGACTCAGTGACTTCCGTTAACTCGGAGTCTGGACAACTCAACTTTTCCTTTATTCTTTCTGGTTGCAAATATCAGATGTAAACGTAAACAGCAACCAAGGAAAACTGCACCACCTGTACGCTGTACTCCTGGTCGGGAGTGGCTTTTGTAACTGAATTTTTCCTTCAGAGGTTGTGCAGTATAAGCCACAAAGACATTTTTCAGCACGAGAATCAATGTGCATGTACATGAGGAAGTCACAGCTTACATGTAAATTTTGAAAATTACTGTGTTTAATAAAGGTGGGTGGCAGTAAATACAGCAACCAGGAAAATGTTACCTATCAAAGGCCGGTGCCGAAGCCTCATAACCCCTGGCCATTCTAACGCGATGTGAGCCAACCTGTAACCCAGGCTGTTCCCAGAACAATGGCACAGACCCCCGAGTCTGAACAAATGAAGAGATGTTCACATCATCTAAGAAGATCACCTGTTGAAACATACATGTGCACGAAATTACTGTATGTGAGCCAAAACTGTCATCCGATAATCACAAAATGAAGACTGTCAAACAGGGCTTGCCCTTACTAGTCAATCTCACTAATTCCGTGACCACCTTGGCATCAAAGCCATACAGGTGTAATTAAACAGTGTTTAAAAGAAAACAAGAATGCCCCACCAAACCAATGCCCAAACCCAGAACTTTGAATGTGATCACAAACAAGATTTCAATTTTGACTCAACCATTCAACTTTCTGCACTAAATGCAATTTGATCATTCCATGAGGTTGGGGCACAATTTGTGACGGTGTCCATTGTTACGTGGGTTCCGTAAAATTAAACAACTTTTTCCATGCATGTGGATTCAAAATTATACATCTTGCAAGGTTGAATACAGAGGTGTGTGTTACTTTTACAGAGTAAATGACCTATTCTACAGGTCATGACAGGTGGTAAAAGTTACCCATGTAACAAGCACACCGTCACAAATTGTGCTCCAACATAGTGGAATGACCCAATTACCGGTAGCTTCTTGGGCCCACTATTAAGAGCAATCCACAACTCCGCTTGGAAGTCCATATGGCATGCAGCTCTTAAGTTATTGCACCAACAAGATTTCTATTATTTTAGCCATGTTGACTTTGCCCCTTAGCCTTTTGGTTCCAAATGCAATGGGCTTCTTAGGGTTGCAGGCCAGTGAGTACATGTAGTTACGGGAGCTAATCAGAACAGTGCTTCAAACTCTGTTTTCCAGAAAGGGGGGTAAACCTTGTGCACACCTTTTATAGTCCATACAAGGTTTGCACAACCTGCATTACTCGTATGTAGACCTCATTTTGTTCATGGGTCCACACTACATATGTACATACATGTAGTCATGTGTACATGTATGTAATGTTTGTATACACTTGTTTTGCATACTACCGGTACATGTACGTGTGGGCTTTCCTTTCTTCCGTGAAAGAGAAATGCTCTTTTTTCTCGAACTACATGTACATGTACCGGTATGATCACTTCTACATGTACATGTAGCTAGGATTTTGATGATTTTCTGGACTACTTCTCTTCACTTTGACCTCAAAATGCCTCTGAAGTGAATGTACAGGTATGAGTCTTCACAATGTCTTCTCACCTTACATTATGTGGACTTCTGTTGCGAAGTCTACACTACAGTGTATGTATGCCATGTCTAAGCACACTCTCAAGGAAGGGCAAATTAAAGCAGAACGCCCCTTTCGCTTTGTTAGTGGGGCACACATGTACTGTAAGCAACTCACTCTGAGTAACTTCGGCAAATTTTTTATTTAGAACTTGGTTTTCGAAATGTTATGTTTCTGATCGCTGCTCTCATTTTCGTTGGATTTGTTTCTGCTTCTAGGATGACCTATTATTTTGCACATAGTTTCACAGACTTGACTGTATTGCTGCTTTGATACTTTTAATTTAAGCTTTATTAACTCTTCATATGTATGTTTATTTGAAATCATGTAAATTGAAACAGGGTCTTCATGGAAAGCAGTTTTAAAACTGATGAAGCCAACCTGTAAAATAAGACAGCAAATAAATAAATGAAGTAAACAAATGTAAGCTACAAGTCCAAGAAAATGAAATGAACAGTCCAGAAGTTTATGGAATTACCCCCTTTCACACTGTTCTACAGGTACCCGGTACCTACACTTGGCTACAGAATGCAAGATTAGTATAAGAACAATTGCAATGAGGAGCAATGTATTGTGAGAGTACATATTTAGAACTACTGTAGATGGCTGGAATGGTACCAGTACATGCTTTTGATTTTATCTTCATTTTTTGGCCAACTCCATCATCATCTTTGGGAAACGCTTTATGTACAACCACAGATTCTCCACAGTCTAATATCTATGACAATACTTAGTTTTGAGGTTTTAAACTACCCAGCTTTGCAACAACCTGAACAAATCTACTCATTTTACATAAAATGTGGTACAGCAGAGGCTTGCTACTGTACCAATGATGACATTTAGTGCAAAAATGTACAACTGAGTAAAGAAGCAGCACTATGAAAATGATATTTTTAAGAATGACAATGATAACACAGGTAAAAATAATGAATTATGTATAATACTGTACATGTACCTGTTCAGTTTCACAGAAGTTAGCCACCTGTCCATCGTCATTGGTTCCACGAACATTGAATCGCGTGCCGGCTCTTTCACAGCTGAGCCTTGATATCAGGCATGCCTTGGCCTGTCGTGTGCCACAGTAGATTGTGCGAATCTCAACACCACCACACATGATGACCAACAGCCAATCCTCACAGTTGACGTTGTATCGCTGGAGATGCAAGTGAAGGGTTCGATTCCTGTAAGAAACATTAGATAAGAGTTTACATACAGTACCAGTGTTCCATCCTGAAGATGACTAGGCCCAAGAATACCCAAAGCAGCAGTCCACCCCAGGCTATGGGATCTTCTATATCCCTACACCCCCAGACGTCAAACCCCATGAGATGCTCCGTACCGCCCCACCTTAAGTCCAAGGAGTCCTACACTAAGGACACTGTGGTCAACACTGTGGTCCTCTAGCGAGGAGAAAGGTCTTGCCCTAAGCCTGAACTTTGCGCTCACTCCCTGGTCCCTGCCCTAGGAAGAGATCATTCAAGCCACTGAGCCCACTCTCCGCCGCCTAGACAAGACCACCGCCAATGAGATCCGCCTCGACATCAGCCAAGCCCTCCGGAAACACAAGAACCCCAAGCCCAACGCAACCAGAGAAGACCGTTCAGCCATCAAGTCCCTCCGCCAAGACAAATCTATCCACATCCTCCTTGCTGACAAGGGCAACGCCACGGTGGTCATGGACCGGGTTGAGTATGATTACAAGGTCATGGATATTCTCAATGCCGGCAGCTACCGTGAACTTTGGAGAGAACCCACAGCAGCCATTGAGAGGAAGCTACAACAGAAGCTTCTCTCCCTCCACCGCTCTGGGAACATCACAGAACAGCTGTACCGACAGTTACGTCCATCCAACTCAAGATGCCCAAGATTCTTCAGCCAGCCCAAGATACACAAGACGGAGACCCCACTACGCCCCATTGTCGCTTCTAGAGGAGGGCCCACCTACAACACTGCTAGACACCTGGCCAAGATCCTTCGCCCTCTAGTTGGTAACACCCAGCATCACATCAAGAACTCAGATGAATTCTCGTCCACCATCCAAGACCTCCGGCTGCAGCCAGGCAACATCATGGTCAGCTTTGATGTCATGTTGCTCTTCACCTGCGTTCCCACCTCCGACGCAACCACTATAGTGAGGGACTGACTCCAAGCCGACACCAGCCTCAAGGACCGCACCGACCTCACCCCCAGCTAGCTTCAAGACCTCCTCACCACCTGTGTCGATTCTGCCAACTTCCAGTGGCGCGACAAATTCTATTAACAAACAGCTGGAACCTCCATGGGATTCCCTATCTCCCTGGTTCTGGCTGACATTCACGGAAGAGTTTGAGCAGACTGCCATCACCACAGCAGACCACCGCCCCAAGATCTGGCTCCGGTATGTGGATGACACCTTCGTCATCTGGGAGCACGGGAAGGCCAACTTCAACTCTTCTAGGACCACTTCAATGGACTTCACAGCAGCATCCAATTCACCATGAAACAAGAGAGGAATGGCAGCATTTTGTTTCTTGATGTTGAGGTGTCCAGAAGGGAGAATGGCAGTCTTGCCCGGAGGGTTTATCGCAAGCCCACCCACACCGACAGGTATCTCAACAGCGCCTCCTTCCACCACCCCAAGATCAAGTCATCGGTCAACAGAGCCCTAATCCGCCGAGCCTACAACATCTGCGACCAAGAGCACGTACACATCTCCACGGCACTCCAATGCAACGGATACCAGCCCAAGCAGATCAAGACTCAAGACCGAAGATCAAGTCCCCTTTCCGGCCATAGGGTCCTCTATACCCAAAGCCAACTAGATAAGGCCCTAGTTCTGTCACTCTCCCCTACCTAGGATGTACCTCCCACATCCAACGTATCCTGAGCAAGCACAACATCAAGGTGTTCCACACAGCTACCCTCAAGATCCACGGGATGCCGACTTCCCATAAGGACAGGCAAGATCCACACCACCGACCAGGTGTGTACAAGATCCCCTGCCAATGTGGCAAAGTGTACAGCGGAGAGACTGGTAGGGACCTCCCTACCTGGATCAAAGAACACAAAGCCCATGGCAGGAAGGAGGACTATGAGAAGTCAGCCATCATCAAGTATTCCCACTCCAAAGACCACACCATCAACTGGGAAGAAGCCCACCTCATCGCTAGCATTGAACAGTGGTACCTAAGATGCATTAGAGAAGCCCTGGAAATCTCCAAACACCCCACCATGCCTCAAGACATCCGCTTCTCCATCAGCGACATCTGGCAGCCCTTGCTCGCCTCCCAGTCTGATGGGTCCTCTATACCCTAGCCCCCCTGGTCTCCTATACCCAGGCAACCTTCCCCCGCCATAGCCCATGACCAACTGACATGCATCAGTACCCAGGTGGATCAACGAGCTGCATCCTTGTTCCACCTGAATACACAGAAGGATCCGCCACACTCCAGTGCTCCCAGTCAGCTTATAAGCCCCCTCTCTGTCGGCATCTTTCAGTCTCCTGACGACGCACAGAGCATACTGTCCGAAACGTTGAGTTCCTCACGGTTCTTTTTAGAACCATACAGACACACAAAAGAGATCGTATCCTTGCATGGTGCTACCGCAAGCTTTCCACCTTACATGTCAGACAGTTTGTACGGCCACGATTCATCAGTTCACCAACTAAATGAATTTGGCAAAAGTGTGATTTTTCAAGTGGCAAAGTGGTTTTTAATATATTGAAAGAAATACATGTACAATGTAATGTACTTTCACACTGCAATGGGTGCTGTCGGCCATGTTTGTGTAAAAGTGGTCTCTCTATGGTAACCTCTTGGTGGGACTCCATATGATTAATCACCCTTATTGCACTTGATTCAGCATCTGGGACATGTTCTCACATTCAGTCAAAAAAAGCCATGCCTTGTCACACAACGACTCCTTAACGATCATCTTCTTTTACCATTGTTCCCCAATGCTAAATGCTTTTTTCAAATTTTAAATATGTTACATTTATCTGCTTAATGTATAGTCTTATTTCTGATGGATGTTGTTCTGGTTTTACTCCTGGAATAGAATATAATAAATGAAAGGAAATATATAGTTTGACAAAGTGAGATTCAATTTGCCATGCTGCAAATGCCACAAATAATTGATTGTTACAAAGAAAAATTGACAGATTAAACACTTTAAACAAACACTAAACTTTTATTTTCATTTATTGTGCTGTAAGGCCTCTAGTTTTGAAAATTGTCTTTCTTGGTCAGAAAAGAGATATTTGCGCACTGAATCTTCTCACCTTGGCCTCTGGATGGCATTTTTACATCATTTTTCACTCGTTTGCATAATTTTCCAATGATTTTGCACTGATTTCCCCATATTTTCACAAAGGTGTTGCAGCAATGCCACTTTTTTGTATGTGAATTGCTGAGAATTTTCAAAGACTGTCAAAAACAAGTGAAAAATGAGCAAAATGCAACCATAAATGCTGAGTGCTGCTGGGAGAGAGGGGGTAAAATGACATGGGACTGTCACATACATGTATCTCTTACATGTCACATACAGGTACATGTATCTCTTACATGTCACATACAGGTACATGTATCTCTTACATGTCACATACAGGTACATATATATTTATTTAAATATATTTTATTTTTCATCAACGTACATGTACATGTACAGTACATTGCGATTGAAAGTTAACACCAAAATGGGAAAATTTTTCAATTTTTTTCTCTCCCAGGGAATTCCTTTTCATTTCACAAATTGTGAAAAAGTGTGCCAAAAGTGGGAAATATTTTCACAGATTTTCCCGCAAATGGGAAAATATTTTAACAGATTTCCCCCCAAGTGGGAATAGATTTTCAAAGATTTTCTCTGGTAGTGGGGAAATAATTTTGCAAGCTTCCTTCTTTAAGTAGTATTTGTGCATGGACATGTAGACATCAGGAAGTTTTTGTTCTCTGTGGTTTCAAACATGCGCATCTCTGAATATGGAAAGTGGATGAAAATCAGTCTGAGACAAAAGTACTTTAATTCTCTGGAACATCCAGAAGATTATTTGAGGAAGACAAAAATTTCAAGGCAGTATGTTTTTCGGTTATGAGCAAAATACAATGCAACAGGCAAAATCAATGCTGGCTATGGTGGTCGGAGACCAGCACTGAACAGCTGAATTACAGTAGATTCCCATTACAGTACTCTCAAAGGGACATAACAGAATTAAGCATTATAACCGCACAGCCTAGTGTAAAACTGACTTGGATGGACGTTCAACATGTGCACATGTACATATACATGTACGTGTACATGCATCCCCATGTCGTCATGTACACGCATGTGAATTACGTTTACCTGTATCGGCAGATGTACGTACCGTAAATTCGGAATAAATGCCTTGTATCCCGTTATCTCGACGTTTGCCTGGTGCCGACCAAAAAAATCACCAACTCTCTTCAAAAACTGCCACCTTGTGCATGCTGCATCGTGGCACACAAACTGCATCTACACCTACCGCAACATCCAGACTGCCACTGCATACCCATTCATGGACAGTCCTATCGCTGACTTTTCCCAATAACCATGTGACCACACAAAGTGACATGTCACCAGAAAACCAAAGTGAAAACAGGCCCGATATGTCATTCTCATGCCAAACACAATCGACGAAAAGACGAGATTTGCTACATGAAGATAAACCTATAATTTAAGCAGTTGATTTTATTTCTCTATTGAAAGAAACCTTTCGGAAACACAATACATCTCAATGTTGATTATTTTGTGTGCCAAACTACACCACAAGAATAAATAAAAGTGGGCAAATAATCCATGTCGCCACAGCAGAGCAAGGTAAGTTGGTTGTAATACATACATTTCATATGCTCTGTGACTTCATAACTCATTGGGGACTCCCGTTGAATTACTCAAAATCCAGACAACTTTTAAAAAATTTATTCTTTGACATTGATGAGGGTTTATTTATGGTAATCCAAGAAAACAACTGCTCCATGCAGACGCCGCTCGCCGTAGTGAGCATGTGCTTGCGATCCCGTTGCATGCACACTTCACGTGGTGAGTTGGCCCCGACCGGCCCCAAGCGCAGCACAGCCTGCATAATGGACTCTTCACTGCATAAAAGTCGTGTGCGTGGGGCCAGTGTGGAGCATTTCACTGCACCATGATTATCGTTTTCGCAAGTTTCCACATAATTTTCGGAACCTTTCGCACCTTGTTCGCAAAAAATTTGCACCATTTTCACAAGCTTTTCGCACATCGTTTGCCCCTTTCCCATCCGATTTGCTGCAAATTTGCAGGGGGGAAAAGTTATGGTCAAAATGTGAAATGCGAATGTGAATTCCTTTTGCATTTTTTCCCACTCCTTTTCGCAACGTTAACTTTCAAATGCAACGTACTGTATGTATTCATACATTGTATAAAAGCAGTTCTAAGCACCATGCACTGTACAAGGAACATAGAGCTTAAATTACCAGAAAAATCTGTTATCTGTTGAGTGATCCTGATTCTGGCGCTGAGCACACAGACTCAGGTCAAACTGAGGCTGCTGAGAGGAACTGGACCAGACAAAGTAGAAGGTGCCAGAACTCAGAAGCTTTCGGACTTCAGTGATTCGTTCCTCATCACCCGGATCATGGCGCAGTGAAATAAAAGATGTTGCTGTGATGCGGAAGATTTCTGATGATGCAACCTTGCCGACAGAGACACATCCAGTGACAATGACTAGGTACAGGATAGTCTGCTCCCCTGTTAGGTCAGAAATTATACATTGAAAGAAGAATTTGATACATTTGCACCTGCATTACATGTACAACGTACAGTTAAAATCGAAAGGAAGTGGAATGTTGCGATTGACGCGATGAGGCCTTTTTATCGCGATAAACAAAACATGGTTGAATTTCGAAAATGCTGGGGAGTTGTATGCTTATCGCGTTTAACGCGTTTCGGCACAAAGTGCACTACGCATGGTGCGACACAATGAGTATCCTATGCTTTGCGCGATTGACGCGTTTGGCTCCACACGTGAATTTACGGTCCACAAACATTGTGCGAAGTTAAGTTGTACCGGTCGATGGTTATCGCGTTAAGTGCGATTTAATGAGAGACGGCACAGCGTGAAACTTGAAAACAAAATGAAANAAAGACTTCGGCCACAGTTAAGAAACCAGTACCATGATTAATGAGCTGTCAATCAATCCTTTCTGCAAGGCTTTTCCAAAGACGAATTTATTTTTAGAGGATTTTTTGCTAAGCTAGTATAACCGGTGATTGGGGTTGCTCTTCATAAGATGAAGTCTAAATTAAATGAATATCGACGTATGACGCTGTAAGTGCGATTTGTTTATCGTAAATTGGGAGAAATGATTTTTCAGAGTTTGTAAATGTTGTCACTGGAACAAGCAACTAGGTCATATTTTGCATTTGCGTCAAATTTAAATACAGATATTGGGGGTTTCCCGTGGACTAGCCAAAAATTACGAGGGATGAATTGAATTAGAAAAACCCTCCATCCCCTTGTAATGTTTTATTTGAAAGTGGTATTTTACCCTGGGCCTATTGACGGATTCCGTCAAAGAATGAACAACAGAAAGGCACTTTTAATTAAATTCATACAAGGCACTTTTAATTAAATTCATACAATATTTTCATCTCTTCTTGATACAACCAAAACGGCATTCAAATTTGAGCTCAGGGCTTTCAT